GCGAATAGTACCTAGTTGAACAATTTGTCTACAGTACCAATGAATCCCTTGATATATCTGATATATACTATCTGAGGTTTGAAATATCAACCTTTTTGTCTTTATTTCTCGTAACTATTCGTTTTCGTCTCTTCTCTTTTCTTATGTCTGCACTCTTCTTATATTCACTTAAATCTTTGATTTCGAAACATGACGCCTAAAAATTCGATTATTTATGACCATACGAATCCAGATCAGGAATAAACTCTGGCTCGAAATAAAACTGTTAATGTGTACCAATAGAGAAATCCCCAAAACCCTCATCTAAGAATTTCCATTTTCACAAATTGTATCAATTAAAATTAGAAAGATTGAAAAGGAATTCCTGAAGCTTCTTGAAAGAAAAGGAGACTAGACATAATTAAAGCTGTTGCTTTTGACTCTTTGACACGTTCGATTTTTTTCATATTTGGCCATTGGTACAATTGACGGACCGTAACAAGGATGCTAGGTAGTTCCCTGGAAGTACTCCTCAGCTTTTCAAGAGACGTCAATTTTCTGCCTTTTCAGGAAGACTGAAAAGGCGAGCGCTACAGCTCCAGCTGCAATGGGAAGGATAAAAAGCTTCTTGAAGCTGCTCATAATGATGTCCAGAATAGCGTTTTGTATTTTATCATCTAAAGTTTCGAAGAATGAATTTCCCAAACCGGAGATAAGTCCTTGGATTTCAGACGAGCTTCGATTTGGAAGCAGAGTCATGATACCACTCTGTGCAGTATTCAGGAAGACAGTGTCGCCAATTGCTAGTGATAGCGCTGCTCCACCTGATTGGGCACACGTTAAGAAACCAGTCACAATCGGAATGTCTTTGGGAGCGACAAGGAATTGAGCAACTGTAAATGATGCCTGACTCCAACCGCCGACAAATGCCATGAGTACAGTATATCCATAGATGGCGCTGACCGCAGTTTCCCTTTCAATAGTAAAGAGAAGCGCAGAACCAATGACTTGGAGAGCAGAACATACAAAATACCAAGGCATATAGTAGCCCCATTTTGATAGGGTGAAACCATTGACAAAAGTCATAGTAACCATGACCAAAATGAATGGGAGGAGCTTGAGACCTGAGCCTAATGCAGACTCGCCGTGGATGATTTCGAAGAAAATGGGAATGAAATATATTGGGAGGAACACTGCAGCTCCGGCGCAGGCTGTCTCAATGAAGAGGATGACTATCTCTTTTGACTGAAGGTATTCTATCGGAATCAATCTGTGTTCCTCGGTTGTTCCTAGCGCATATGACTGCTGAATGGCCAATGCAATGAACAGAATACCACCGGTAACGAAAAGACCGATGATAGATCCAGAATTCCATGGAAATAGTAGTCCGCCGAAGGCAATGGCCATTAGCAAGCATGCAATGGCACCCAAGAGAAGTAAGGCACCAAGCCAGTCAATTTGTATCCATCGACCAAGAAGACCCAAATTAGATCGGGGTTTGGAGTTCGGGATGAGAAATACGTATACAGGCGCGAAGATTCCTCCAATACAAAGGTTGATATAGAATCCCCACCGCCATGTGGCGCTGCTATCGGCGAAAGCCCCTCCTATGAAAGGGCCGACCCTGTGGATATGTTAGCTTCATGTGAGAGATTGAATGAGTTTGAGTCTCACACTGTGCCAATACCCCAAAGTATCTACGATTATTCCGGATTAGTATATTGGAAATCAAAATTTAGTGGAGTCGACTTACGCCTATCAGCCCGAGATATACTGGCCGCTCGGTCTTTGATGTATTTTCCGACATTACAGTCATGACACCGATATACATTCCTATCCCTCCCAGTCCGCATATAGCTCGGCCAACAATAAGAGCGTTCATGTTGGGAGCACCACCACATATTGCGGAGCCGACCTCAAAAATCAAGGTTGTGAATATATAGACATACTTCGCGTCAAATGTACCATATGCCTTTCCCCTATGTACCACTACCTGTCAGTATGAGGAAGTGTGTAAATAATCTCGATTACTGACCACATCAGGTTTGTTCCAGCCGCCCCCAGCATGAAAGCCACCGAAACCCACGTTAGCTTTCCCACTTCATCGAACTCCTCGACAATTGCCGTCTGGATATCGGCGACGATAGTGTTGTCTATGGCGAACAAAAAGGTTGATGATGAAATACAAGCAACCACTAGACTCCAGGAAAGTCCATTGATTGTTCGAGTAGAGGTTCCCGCTACAGCATCTCTATCTCTTTCGGTCGTGGCATTGGCATTGGCAGAAGATATCTCCTCGGATACTTTTTCGGCTTCAGGAGCAGAACCTTCAACGAGTTGTGGGCTCTCCGATGTTTTGGCCGAGCTATCCTCAGCTAAAAGTACTGGTGAAGATGCCATGGTGTCTTTTGAGATTCAGAGAAAAAAAGTAATAGTATCAAATTCATATGAAAGTGCTTCGCTACAAAGAATAAGTTCACTTTGGAGATGAAAGACAATTAGCTGGTTCTTGAACTTATTGTTGCATTTGTTTCATGTTCAAGCCCGGACAAATACTAGGTAAACACCTACAACACTTGGAACTCTCAATAGAATTTAATCGATTTCGAATGTACCAGTAGAATAATTGGTACAGTGTCAAATAACAACGGTTTGATTGATCATTACAAAATTAGAAGTTCAGAATTGTTTGACCCTTCCAGTAATTTAATATGCGCGTACATTCGCTTGCGCCACCCCTGTGAAATTAGTGGTTGTAGGTTTCTGCAAACCCCTGGTAGTTGTTGGCTGCTTATATGTTACATCAATTTCCGCGCTAATGCTTGTCGCTGTTTTGGCATTATAGCTACCAGGTAGTTATGAGTTCGCTTTTTGGTAACAGTTTGGTGCTTGCAAGGCCATGCTGTCCACAATAAACCTAGAGATCGCTCAAAGCTGGGATACTTTACGATCCCCCCCAAATTCTACTTCAATCTGTCAGAGTCTTTGAAGTTTTTCACTCAATTCTAGCGTCACTTTTTCTCCCTTGAATTGACATCGAGATTTTAAATATGGCACTTTACACTAAATTCGATATGAGTTATCCGTCATTGTTGTTACTCTGCACAGTTTTTCTACTTACAATTCGTGCTTTGAAGAGTCACCTAAGCACCAATCGATTGCGAAAGGGATGTCAGCCACCGCGATCAATTCCTCAGAAAGACCCATTCTTTGGTCTTGATATAATCTATGGCCGCTTCACAGAAACTTATGAAAATCAATCGCGTGATACAATCGCCAGAGGTCTCTTTTCAAAATATGGCCATACGTTTCAATCCTTTCCGTATGGTGTTTCCGAAATTGTTACTGAAGCACCGGAACATGTTAAAGCTATATATGGAACAGATTTTGAATCATTTGGCGTCGGTCCCATGCGGTCTTTTGGGCTGAAACCTTTGGCAGGCGACGGCTTAATGTCCACCGACGGTGCAGTGTGGAAGGCTCATCGTTCTGTGCTCACTCCGATCTTTGCAAGAGCCACACACCATCAACACATGTTTGAGCAACACGTTGCACGGCTTCTGGCCTTGATTCCTGAAGATGGCTCCACTGTTGATCTACAACCGCTGTTTGACCGCCTAGCACTTGACAGCTCCTCTGAGATCTTATTTGGGGAGTCGACATTAACCCTATTGCCAGAGACTCCAGCAGATGCCATGAGATTTCTAGACGCTTACAACTACTCTTTACAAGGTGTCGGCATGAGAATGGTGTTGCCATTCTGGGATTTTCTATCCCGGGATCCTAAGTTCTGGTCTTCATGCAAGGATGCGCAAGACTTTGTTGATAAAATACTCGACAAAGTAATGGATAAAGCCGTGTCGACCAGCGAGGAACAAAAATACTCAGTGGCATACGGACTAGCAAATCTAGGTCAAGATCGAGTGAAGATTAGAGACGAACTTTTGGGCTTATTCCTTCCGGTTCACGATGCCATCGCGACGCCCCTTACGAACATGTTCTTTAATCTAGCACGAAACTCTCAGGCGTGGATGAAGTTGCAAGAGGAGGTATCAGCTATCGGACCTGCAGAACTCACTCCTAAACTTGTGAAGAGTTTAAGTTATCTCAACTGTGTCATCAACGAAACAATGAGACTATATCCCGGTGTGAGTGCTAATGAGCGTATTGCGCTTCGTGACACAGTTCTTCCGACAGGTGGAGGGCCAAATGCAACCTCTCCAATTTTTGTCAAAAAAGGCGTAAAAGTTGTAATTTGGTTCGCGTCAATGGCTCGAAGAAAGGATCTTTGGGGGGAAGATGCTGAAATATGGCGTCCTGAGCGATGGGAAGGCGATTTCAAACCTGATCGTTGGATAAATTTATCCTTTGGGGCTGGGCCACGAATGTGTCCGGCTAGTGATCTTGGCGTTACACAGATCGCGATAACTACCATCAGGATCTTGCAAAAGTTCAAGGGTATCCAAAATCGCGATCCGGTGATGGAATTTGTGGATCGTTGGAGAGTAACAACCGTGAGCAAGAACGGCGCCCAGGTTGGATTGATACTTTAATTTGTACCTAGAAGATAGTTTCAGAACTTTACAATCCTTCCTTCTGAATTTGTTCCACTCTGTGAAAACATCTTGCCACTGAAGAACCCTCACAATGTTGTCTGAATGGCTCTTAAGTATCACTTTGGGTGATTTCCAGTGCTATAGATTGACTTTTTTGATAATTTAAACAACCTAAGGACAAAGTCTATGATACAAAATACATGATCAATCCGTGTGCCAGAATTATCGTAGATAGAGTATATTCGGAAATCAAATTGAAGGCAAATAGATTGACAACTAAGAATGCTAAGAGAGATTCCTTCACTGGACTTCACTCCAAACAGTGAGCTAAAAGCTTCCCAAGTATCTTAGCTTGTGGTCTTCAGCTTATCAGCTCTATCAAAGACGTAAACTCATAATTTCTGACATAATAGAGCGCTCCCGATACATTTCCCAACAGAAGTGTTCCGTATCAAAACAACTCTACTAACGACCTAGTTGACCAGAATAACCAGCGGACTCAACAGTGTTGGCGAATGATCGCTGCATGAAGATTCCTTCTTGGTGCTCTAGATTCTCTGCCGGCTGCCCCGTATCAACCCCACCAGTGTATACAGATTGTTTGTTGCTTATTTCCTGTAATCTGTGCCATTCCCTGGTTGAATCTTCCCTTTGACTCTCTTCATCTGTAGCCTTACGTCCAAGTGAAGTCATAGAAGGGGGTTGGCTGCGTGAAAATATGGAGCGAAAGCTCCGGGCACTTCGGATCAGTGAATCTGGAGATCGTATTCCTCTAAATAATGGGGTAAGACAAGGAAGACATCCTGCGATAATCGATGTACAAGGTTCGATTTGGCCCCAGATTAAAGAACTCGTAGAATCATCTGGAGTATATTAGCACGAATTTTCTTTTATCTGAGCTGGGTTTAGAACTTACCTGCAAATAATGGGGTGAACGCAACGGCTGGTTTGGAAGCAGTGAAGCTGAGTTGGTATGCATAGTACATACGAACGGAGGCAGAAACAACGCAGCTATCACAGAATGTCAGACAGAGCCTGATGATATAACAGATTTTTTCTGAGAGAGCAAACACTTACAAAATGCCTAGCCAGAAGATACCCACAATTTGAAATTTGCGCGTTCGTGTCATTTGCAGGTGCTTGATGACAGGCAGTGGAAGGCAAAGAATGAGGACATCGAGAAAAATATCCATCGCCGCAAAAGAGGTAACCATAGCACCGTAATTCATGTCAAATGATTTCCCGAAGGTCCACCAGTCTGATACAGGCCAGGCTGAGAAAATTTGTGTCTGTGATGTTAGCAAGAAAGGCTTAACGTCAAGGCTACACCACTTGAACACTTACAAAAAAGCTTGCTAATATCCAAAGCGAAACGGCGACTAGTGTAATATTGGCGGCTAAATGGAACTTGGATGTTGCAAAAATCCGTTTGTAGAACATAAGAACTGAACACTTGACAATACCACAGGACAACTGGGAGAATATCACAGCCAAATACAGATGCTTAATACTTATCAACCACTATGATCTGTTCTTCTTCACAGAAGCCACATACCTTTGAAAGCACAGTATACTGCTCTGGGGTTAATGTCGAGAGTGGTTGACCGATGCTGCCCCGAAACGACCCTTCAAAGACAATACATGCAAGAACAATTGCTAATAACTATTTGTCGATTAATTCGGTGAATATTTTCAAGTGCAGACGCAGGAATTCTTACCATTGCAGCAAGTATAAGATAGTCATCAGCTTTGTAAGGTATCGATTGTATTCTTCGAGCGTGGAAGCGAAAATAGACCGCGATACCTGCGAGGACAGGGAAAACAAAGCTGCAAGTAGCCGCTGCTACAGAGTATGAAGAATACATCTTAGTTAATGTGTCTTTTTGTTTTCGGTTTGTTGCTCGACGCCTCTCTACTGTAGCAGGGGCGTCCACGTCTACTCAATATTAGTCTTCGCTTCTTTGGTGGTTTCGAGTATTCTTATTATGATGCCATTAATGATTGCTTGGGGTTGAAATTTTTTGAATGAAAGCTTCTGCAACTGTGTTATGCTTGGTCCAAAAGTACTTTACAAGGCTTTAAGAATTATATTACTATCTCAGTTTGCAGGTAGTATACATCATGGGCACCTAAGAAATTGTGATATTGATACTCCAGGGTTTAGATCCAAGTGTAAGCATAGGGTTGCCATGAGTATATCTTCTCACGAAGGACCTGGTATGGTTGTTTGTTTGTAATTCATTCTAGATTCGACATCTGTCCATTGAATGTTGGAAGTGACAAAAAAAGGCATGGCTATCTATTCGACTGCGACTTTAGTATTCTATTCTTGTCGTTTGAGGACAATAATGGCAACAGACCAGACCTATTCCTTTCCAAACTTTTCAGGGTGTATCAAGTATACCGTGGCTGGCAATACATGAATTCCTTCATCGAAAAATGGTTGTATCCTGTGTTGGGTTCTAATTTATTGTAGGTACCACATGTAATCTTTGCGGATCTCGGGATTGGGCACAAACTATTCCGTCCGTAGAAGACTGAAGAATCATTTTATTCATGCCCGCGGCACAGTCGGATAATACTGTACATCTGCCATAGAATCCGACATAAGGGACTCTAAAATTAAACTTGAAGAAACACACTTTCGAGCTCACGGGTATATCAAAGTCTGTCAAACAGGTCAATTGTAACACTAGCATATTCGTAGTAAGCGATGGCCATGTCAATAATTAGCGCATTTTCAATTATGCTAACTGTTCCCAAAACAGCCCAGCAGCCCGAATCAAACAGACCGAAACTCTCATACTGTGATGAGGCCTACAGTCTTTGCCGCACGCAGGAATTTCACACCCACACCACCAGCCCCCCATACATTAATACTGGCTTGCGTGGTCTCTACTCGGCATGCATCTCTCCCTCCACATAAAGAGTAAAGAAAAATGAGACGCTGCAATAAGTACCCGGAGGAGAGTTGATACCCGCAAGAAAGTTCAACAGACCAGGGGTTCTAGTGGTGCATGGAATGTAGTTTCTCAGATCATAAGTCCACTTCGTCTGGAGCATCGGATCTGGTTGATCCTTTCAACAAACAGGGGGATCTGCATTTATGCAATCAACTAATTGAGTATGATGAGACCACACTAGCCTGCAACAATAATCCTCCTTTAAAATCTTCGATGGAAATCTTATACAGAACTGTCGAAATTAAGCAAGGTTCCTACTGCACAAGTTTGTTGGTTACAATATTGGTACTTAGAGCGTTTTACTATGTATCTACAAGGTAAAATACGCTAATAATCACAACCAGGGTCATGGGTTGCGCGGAATTCACCTCCTAGATGCGGAATGTAAATCCTGACAAGCCACCCGCCGCCCTGAGAAAGTGATCTCTCTGTTTGTGCGTATACACTACTGCATGCCATTTTATGGGGTAGGATCTTATCAATCCATCAAGTATCCACTAGCTCTTACCATTCCTCGACCCAACCTTCATGTGAAAGCTGTTCCAAGCGAAATCACCGACCGACAGACACAAGGCCGGAGGCGCAAATCAACGAATATCTTCGAAGTCCCCAAATATTATCATGCAAGATGTAAGACCGAGTGTCAAACTCTGAGCTCGTGGCTCCATTCTATTTATCGACCCTGGTCTAGAGGTGAAATCAAACAGTGCATGCATATGAAGCCCAACTAATGGCCTTCATCTTCTTACAAGAAAATTGGAGCAAACGACCCTCAGATAGGACTGCAATGGGAAGCGGTAACCTCGTAGAATAAAGATTAAGCAACCGGATATATCCAATAGAAATGAGAGTTATCTAAACCCCGAACTTTAGTTGGGACAAGAGACCATACATTTAGTTAGGTCTAGCTTTGAGTGAAACAACACAACCATGAGCATTTTTCGCTGTCAATTGCAGCTGACCCATCCATTCTTGATCATCGTGGCTTCCAACAGCAGAAAATTCTTGTACCATTCTAACAACAATATATCCGGCTTCAATAAGCGCTTTTTGCTGACCCATACAGACTCTCGGCCCGGCACCAAATGGAATGTACTCCCCTGGACCAGGCTTGAAATTATTGTCCCAACGCTCTGGTTTGAACTCTGCGGCATCCGCCCCCCATATTATAGGATCGCGGTGAATTGCATACGATGAGGTGCTGAACATTGTACCCTTTGGGATATAGACGGGAGACATGCCGTCTGGTCCACCGCCAGTTGGCAATGACGTTGATTTCAGAGCTGTTCGGAAGATGTTTGGTAGAATAGGATACAGTCTCAGTGCTATATTTCGAAGGTTAGGATCAAGTATGTTCTGTACATTCATATGAAGCGAGTTGTAGTGTTTGCTTACCCTCATTGATAACCATACGGGCATACTTCAGTCTGGAGATACAATCCCAGTTTAACTCGGAATCTCCAATAGCATCCACCTCTTGCTGTAACTTATGCCATACTTCTGGATGGCGAGAGAGAAGGAAGAAAACATTTGCCAACAGATTGCCAGTGGTTTCTTGGGCTGCCATATGTGCTTGCATTATTTGCCAACGCAGATCTTCGCGATCACCTGTTTGTTCTGCCATGCTCTGAAGCAAGGTTCGATTTGGTAAATTGGGAATCTTCGAGTTATCTCCCACAAGATATTGATGTCGATATTCTAAAGCTCTTTCAACGTAGTAATCTGCAAATTCACGAACTTTCTGGCAAGCCTCGGACCATTTGGGGTCGCGGTAGAGGAATCTTAATGGTCCCAACACAATGCGAATACCGCATCCACGCATTGCATAGTCAAAAGCTGCCAACACGCCCAAAGCATGGGGAGGGACATTCTGAGAGAGTGCACCAATGGACTCACCAAACAGAAAAACCGTAGCCATATCTAGGTACTAGGTATCAATCAATACACAATATGGAAAAGGGTGCGTAAACCTAAATTCACAAAGAGAACTCACGAGATCCGCGAAAAGGGGTAAGAGATCTACCGGAGATTCATCTTTCGGTATACGGGACAGCATAACTTGGAAATGCTCTTCGAGCGATGTCAAATTAGAAATATAGGACCGTTGGAATCCCGGCTTAAGCAGTGACTTTGCATGTGCCCATTCATCACCATCAGTAGTGATGAATCCGCGTCCGCAAAACGGCTCTTGCGCCACAAGCCTAATGGGTTGTACGCCCCATTCTATGCTTCGAGATGAGAACACGGTATGTATGTTCTCAGGTTGGATCGAGTTTATCTGGGTTCTTCCTAAATTTTTCGTTTGGAAAGTGCGTCCATGGTCAGCAAAGCGTTGAGCAATTTCCGGAAGCATGCGATGCTCCTTGAGAAGCTTTCCTGTTTTGATGAATATATCAAGACCAAGGAAAGGGTCGATATGAGGGTACTTTCTAGGAGGAAGATGACCATTGGATCGTGCAAGGCGATTTCTATACAAGATACGGAAAACATGATAACCGAGTAGTGTGCAGAGGACTGTACATGCAAACGTAGACAGGCTCTTCATCTCGGCGCAAAGATACCGAATTCTTTTTTTTTACAAATCGCAAGACAAAATATGAATTATTTCAGATATCATAGCCGCAAGCAATATTCAAGTCGAGAATGTGAGCTTCGGGGTATGTAAAATAATTACGCGTGCCATACAAACAATCCTATCTAGGCAATCGTGACAAACGAACACTGTACACCTCCACGCGAAACACTCTACATATGAACTCTGTCCGTAGGGGCAGTATGTAAGGGTTGTATTGAAGCGGCGTCGCCATGGATGAAAGGTACTCACCTAATAAGCGCATGGGAGTACCGTATAGCTATCAACAACAGGCTTCTAATCATGTATGATGTGTGCTGGGAATCGAAGCATCCTTGACACTTGGGCAGAGATTTTTTCCTTGCCTCAGCTTAGCGACTGCGCCGCACAAGGATCTTGTAAAGCATGTATCAAGCTTTACAGACTATGGAATATTATGGTTTGGTTTGATAGAAATCACTGAGTTCATTTTCAGACTAGTAACCTTATTTAGTTAATCGAACTATTTAGTGCCTGTCTGAGGGCTATCTGTCGTGTTGTTAGCCCACTGAGGTCTATCAAAATCGTACGTACGCTGCTACCATGACAACTAAACAACTACCTGGGTAGGTAGCAATGGCCATATTACATCTGCAGCTGTACCAGCATCAATCCAACATCTGAGAATCTAGTGCTGCCATTGGAGGGTGTATACGGTTGCAAACTTGCAGCAATGTGGCATCTAGATGGTGCTACCATAACCTGTCAGCCTGTATCAAAATTCATGAGACCCACTGAAGTCAGCATAGAAACCATCATCGCTAATACTCGTGCGGCCAGAAAGTATGCAACTCCTGCCTCAATAGGATTAAGCCACTGTGGGGAAGCTTCCTAGAGCTTGAAAAGGGCATAAATCATTGAAATTTGTGCTGAAAGTAGTAGGGCTTCAATATAAGCGAGCGATTCAATTGATTCAATTTTCCAAATCTCCATTTAATATAGTGGGATTAGAAAAAGCAGTGGATTCCATTGGCCCATTAAAGCCGATATAGCGTATTTAGCGCCGGAGTTGCATACTTTCTGACAGCACGAGTAGTGTGAGAACTGAGGGGTGCATGACAATCTCATACTGCAGCACTAGATTAGATCACCTGTGGGGATGACTTTGAAAACACACAGACCGGAAAGCGAACCATACATCCGACTACGACATTGCAAATATCTACTCGTACTAGGTCCTGCAATCTTGAAGAAAACATCGGCAGTCTCTTCATTGGCTTACAAATATAGTACCTAGTTAAATTACATGGAGAATGATCACGTAGATGCCGAAACATCCGGATAGCCCCAGATACCCCTGCAATATCACTAGCCATAAGCCTCCCAATCAACTTTGCATGTTCGTCTTCGAATGTGCACACTGATGAACCACTCTGTCGGATCAAGCCAAGCAAACACTTGTACAAGTAGCGTGGTGGATCTTCAGCAGTCCATCGCCCAATGTGTATGGGGTGCGCCATTTTCAATCTTCATCACAATACCTTGGTGTGTCCTCACAAGCTGCCACTGATAAACCGAGGAGTCGAGGAGATGTCAGGAAGCACGCCATCCCGTCGTAAACTTTACTCGATTCAGCCCTCCAGATATTTATGCTGTCTTGCTCCACTCTCAGTCAGGCATTATTACTGGCTTGGTATCACTGCCCTGGGCCACTGGCCGGTTATCTGGCACTACCTAGGAGATGCCTTGGACTGGGGTCGATAAAACGTAGGGAAAAAGGTCCATTCAACTGATCAAGTAATCTCTTGTCTTAACAGAGGCCAGCCATCACAAAGGAAAACTATCTCAATAAAACGGACAAGCCCTGAATATCCTTCCAGTATTCTCTAGAAACAACGATAAGCCGCCCTATATTTTCAAGTGTCTGTGGCACTGCACTATGCCAGTGTTACCTTTATCTTCAAGAGCCAATTCATCCTGCATCGCGACGTTACAATCGATTCAGCCGATGCATCTGTTGCTCCGTGGGTGGTGGGTCTTTTCACACTTTTGCCTTGAGTTCACCTACAGAATACTACCTCGTAGGGTCTAAATTTCGCAGCTCAACTGGAGTTTATCAATCTTGCAAGACTGCGCCCCATCGCTGCGTACAGCATTTGGTCATGATAAACGATTAAAATTTCCACCACGGAAATGATGTAGGCAACTCACATTACGCAACACACCACTGCGGTTCGCGCCGCTCAATTGCATGATAAGATTTTTTGTTATTGTGCTTTAAAATGGATAAAACTGACAGGGCTATACTAAAGGAGGAGAGAGTGTCAAGCAAGTAACTGTAGCCGAGACCAATTCTCCACAATCCCTAGCTTTGAAAACATCTGCGATAAAAAAACCCCGCAGCCTTTGAAGTAATAGGGTGTCAAACTGTATAAGGCTATAATCTCAACACGACGGCCAATTATAACCATCTACTAATCAATGTCTCGGCGATAATCTGGGTAAATTACAGAACCATCCTCCTTTGCAGCGTCAACATCTCTGCCCACCACTTCTCTGCGGTAGTCGGGGTAAATGATGGATTCATCGCTAGTAGGCTTTGCATCTCTGCGATAATCTGGATAAATGACGAAATCGTCACTGGCTGATCGGCGATAGTCGGGATAGATGATAGGTGTGTCGTCGTCAGATGATGCATCTCTTCGATAGTCCGGATATACGACAGATTCTTCACTAGTCGATCTGCGGTAGTCAGGATAGACAACGCTCTCGTCGGCTCCATAGGTATCTCTAGCAATTGCTGTGGGGTTGGTCAGCAGATATTTTCAAAGATGTGAAGCATGATGCAGCACACACCGACAGACTTCATTGGGGCACAGAACCCAACTGGAAGGATCGCAAGGACCGAAAGTTTCATGAAATACATCTTGGCTTTAAGTGGCGGGTGTGAAAGTTGTGTTCGGACGAGTATCTTGATACTTCGTAGACCTTGTGGAACTGGGATTTGGATGTCTGTCGAGAGCTTTAAGTGGGAGTTTTGATGATCTTTATATGCCTTTTTTTCTGGAGGGAGGTGGTATTTGCAGGTGTATATGCAGTTGTCTGACGAAGATAGCGAACACAAAAATACGCCAGAATCAGCAAACTCTTGATAAGAATTCCTGATTAGCTTCCCACAGATATACCCCCTCGATTGTTAGCCTAGATTATTTCGTGCTGATTGCGTACCACACAATTCTTCACTCCGTGTGCCACTGCTGGCAACCCACAAAGCAAATCTTCGAATCTAAATATGTCGGGCGTCATTCCGAAAATCTTGACCTATGTTTCATTTCATAAAACCCAAAAACTAATGGAACCGAAAGACGAAGAGTTGGATGCATTGCCATTCCTTCTTTCTACTGGCCGTCGAAAGAAAGAAAAGCAAGATTATCTCACAGTTATTGGCTTACACCTTCTCGTCTTTATTCTATATTCCTTGGCGATTTTCTTATATTTGAATTCTCACACTTCTCAGGGTAGAAGTTCTCTAATCGAAATGAGTATGTGGGCTCCAAGACAATTAATGGAGTCGGCCAGTAAGCTGATCAGTTGCCAGGCTTCGATCAAGAAGAACTCTTGGTAAATCAACAGTACTTTGAGCTTGCTGAGTTCAGTGTCTACGCTGGGGCGCCCAGTAGAGACTTGGATAATGCGTGGCAAGAATTACTCTCCGGGATAAATATTCGAGTTTCGCAGAGGGAGCTTGAGAGGACGAATCAGACATCTGTTACATTATTGAATGGTCAAGACCATCTCGCATGGCTTGAAGCTTTTCATCAGCTTCACTGTGTAGTCCGTATCACCTGCTAGCACCGCTCTCTGCTCTTGCTAATATGAGACCCTTCAGAAGTTCGTAAGGCAGGCTATATACCGCAAGCACTATTTTCCCGATGTTTCGGGAGACAAGGAAACCCACTGGCTCTTGCATGCAGGTTTGAGCCTCTTTTCTCTAGTTATAGAGCACTTCTGACATTTTTAGATCACTGTGTCGAACTTTTACGACAAGCAATTATGTGTCATGCAGACACAACATTGATGACATTTGAATGGAGCTCAAAGAGTGATAAACCGATGCTGAAATTAGAGGGACCGAAACATACATGTGTTAATTGGGAAGATCTTCGGCTTAAGGTACAGCGACGGATAGTTGACGATCAAGAAATGAGCAGCCTCAAAAATCCGTCTTTCTTAGGGGAAATTTGAATTGTGTAGTTTGCTTATCATGCCATGAATCATTTGACTTAGTATATGTAACATAGTATTTCTGTCTCCGTGCTCATTATTTCCGACACAGCTATTGTTCGTCCCAGACTACCGACATGAAGAAGGTCATCAATCGATGCTTCTCTGGTGGATTCGATTGTACCTGCCTTTCCACCGTAGTCTCTTAGCCTTCTTTCTGGATCAACTTTCTGCCATTCCCACCATAAACGATCAATTTGTGTATGATGAAGGAAGAAGATCGGATCTGTGATGGAATTAATATGCAAGTCTTCAAGAACTATAACTTGAGTTTCTGGGTGCACGAACCATTAGGGGACGTAAAACTTCCAAATTCGCCCTGCAAGAATGCAGGTATAGCACGATGTGCACCATCTTCCAAGGCAAGATTAAAACCTCTATAGTCAGGGGAATTGAATGCTTTCTGCAGAGATGATGGATGGAGTCTTGAAGTAACAAACTGATTTTTCTCAGAACCATGTCGGAAGCCGCGAGATAGACAATGCTCTTGTTCGCTATCTTCGTAATAAAAAAGGGTCATATTTGCAAAGGGTCCATCGGTTACACATCTTCCTTCCCCTACACTGAGATCCCCCGTTCCATCACCCCCAAACCCGTCCTCGTTATCCCAGATTGGTGATGTTTCGATGTCTGACCAGTCTAGCTCCCAGTCCCAGTAAGCTAGATACCCAGTGTAGTTGCATTGGCCCTTCAAAGCCAGCTCGTAAATGTGAATGAAATAACGATGCCAGGGCAGGAATCCGGCAGTTTCATGTGTGTAATTGCCAATCTGTATATGCGAGTAGCCAAAATCATCGTATAGCGAGTGGTTGGTTCCTAGCATGGATGGCTTGCTACGAAGACAGTTCACTGCCTCGAAATATTCGTGCTTCTCATTTCTACTAAGGGAGCGCCATTCGCGACGAACAATGGGATTGTCACATATTTTCAACTTGGGGTATTGTGTGAGTTGACCGATGTGACTAACGACAAACAACATAGTCATAAGAAACAGACCGCTAGATATGAGTACGCATGAGATTCTCGAAAAGTTGATTGGGTATTTCGACTTCTCCAAGGTGCTGTACGCTGTATCATGGGATTGTACGTCGTGATCATGATCAGAAGTCGGAATAGTTGAGTACTCTTCAAGAGACGCCATGGCTATTATTTGAAGCAACACTTACGTATCGAATATGTTTCTGTCTGCAGAAGAAGTTCTGTGCTAATGAAGCTTCGATACCATCTGAGGTGCCATCATCCAGATGAAGATCGGACGTCCGGTATATCCGTAGCATTTTGACCCCGCCACCCCACAAACTGACAAATGAGATGAGACCATTAATTACCAATATTTACTATATTAAAACCAAAGTCGAGAAGAACAGCTCAGCAGACCCCGCGTCGTCGTCTTCCTCCGTTTCTTGTATCATCTTGGGAGTCCACTTCGTTTGGTCTGCGCGTTGATCAATCAAATTGGGCATTCGAGAATTAAAGACCGATTTCTCTTGAACTTATGCTACAGTTGAAATATACAAAGAACTATGGAAGATCAGCCAATGCTTTCGAACTGCGAAAAAGACAGCCTGGAATCGGCCGAAGGCGAGTATCAAAACAAGAGCTCAAAGCCACGAAACTGGGTACTATATGTACTTCTCACTTTATCTCTTCTTACAAATCTTATACTCCTGATACCACATATCTTCAAGTCCTCAATCGACACTCAAACGAGCATTTCTACAGTCACGAAATATGGTATGTGCACACTAGCCCTGATTGAAATTCTATCTGACATTTTTTTTACCTCCAGCCGGACTGGCGAGAGACACTGTGTCAGTTATCAATTCATCCTCACCTTACGGGCTTGGAAGCAAAAACGAGATTGAGAGATCCATATTATGGGAGAGTCTTGATACTAGTACAGGCGAGATAAGTCTCGATACCAAGTGGGCAAACGAACAAGGCCTTCCTGACTCCGAACCCTTTTTCTGGAACAAAAATCGCAGTATTTATCTCATTAATGCCTATCACAGTGTTCACTGTCTCGTAAGTAGTATGTAAAATCGACGATTCCATATATAATACTGATTCATAAGTAGCGAAAAGTCCGTAGATGGGTAACTATCAGCTACTATAATGGTACTCAGCTAGATAGTTATCCTCACCTCATTCATTGTATGGATCTTTTACTGCAAAATATTGTATGTGAAGCCGATGACACACCAATGTACACATCTGCGACAAAAAACGTCACGACAGGTATGGGCCAACAACGCATGTGCCGCAGTTGGGACAAGCTTAGTAAGTGGGCAAATAGGCAAACAGCCTGCTTCAGTTATATCAATGAGACTCAGGGTGTGGATGCTGTTATCCAGCGCTTTAGATATTGCCCACACGATAGCAGTATGCTCGAGCCCATGAGACAATTTTTTGGATATAGGGAAGATTGGTTTGAGGAACGTGTGTCGGAGATTGAAAGCATGCCACGCTATTGGGAAGGTTTCCAAGAATGATACGGATTGTACGAAGCTCCAAACCATTGGCGTAAAAATGTACTTAGATTGTGGAAATTTAATCAAAAGCGGACAATCTCATCATCTCGATTTCCAAAAATACTTCGAGACTCAAGAATACTCGCTAATGCCCCTCATATTTGTGCTCTCGCTTAATTATGTAGCCCATGTACGTTAACCCTGTAGCAGGGCTGCAGTGTTTGTTCCTTCACCGCCGATGCTAATCCAAAAGAAGCCATTTGTCCGCAAATGAGGTCAAGTTACTGAAATTTTTGGATTGAAACCGTTGGTGATAGCGTGCCGTTGGTGATGAACAGAGTACCAGCATTGCAAATGCAATAATGCTACCACATTATTATATTACCCACTTTTGCGCTTCGCCTCGCCCCGTTGTAGGCTGGTTGCACATTGAGTTACCGAATTCGACCACACACAAGTGGCGATACCTGGAAACATCGTAATTAGAATTTCGTGTCCCCAACATTGCATATTCACAATCACACATATATCCCTGACTTGGAGTAATCTGATTCCGAGGATAGTATTTGATGACCATCAAATTCTTTGTTATCCACGAATAGTTTCCAGGCCCCATCCTCCATCTCAAAGTCATTGAAAAGTTAAGTTCCTCGGCTGCTCAGAAGTAACCTGACCCTAAGCTCTGATTGAACAGGGTTCTCTTCAAGAATTGGATCGATCCTCATCTTTGCAGATACTAGAGCATGGGCTTGCAGGTTTGTATTTATGGTAGTATTGAAGGAGGTGGTCGAGATAAAGATGTGGCCACCCATGTTATTTGATCCATGACGCTTGGTTCTTGTTGTTCGGGGACTTTGAGATTCCCACTCTTTTGTAAAATATTGATTATTCCTTTCACTTTCTCTCACTTAAGTAAGTTTGTTGAAAGGGTATGTTATAGTGATTTGCATCATCTTCTAGTATGCCGACTATTTCGAGCATGAGTTATCGATATAACTTGGTAGATATTGAGCGGGAAGAGAAATCTGCAGGCACAGGGGCTCTTTACAAGACCACAGCATGTTATCTTCTTCTGGTTTGCGTGCTTTCAACCGCATTTTTCGCAGGGAGATATTCCATCATCAGGGCAGTTAACCCAGAGACTACACAAGAGCTGCGACGTCAGTGTCTATTTGAACGTTAAGAATTCAGACGATTAACTATGTCCAGTCGATACCCTACTCCAGACTTTTGAATACAATAGAACATTTGGGGAGCCTCCTTCGAATGTTTCCGATGAAGCATGGAGAAGTGTCTTTCCTTCTCATGGTGGATTTTTCAAACATCCTCGCTTGGCACCTGAACGGTCTGCATTCTCCGTTTACCATCAACTACATTGCTTGGTAAGCTAAAAACTCTCTCTACGAAGATGAGAAGCTTGACAGCTTACCATAGAACAGAATTCTCTTCGAATTGGGGTATGGTCAGTGTACAACGAACATAACAAACACTCGACCATGGAGCTAGAGCATGAGCATGAAAGCGGCTTTATGATGAGCCCTTCTCATTTGCGTCATTGTATCGATCTTCTACGTCAAAGTATAATGTGTCGGCCGGACTTAACAGTCGAGAAGAAAAACGAAGAGCTTGGTGGAGTGACCGGATTTGGTACGGAGCACCAATGTAAAAACTGGGAGCAGCTTCAACTCTGGACATCGCAGTGGGAAAATTTTGAACCAGTATAGCTTTAATCTAAATGAAATCGGACTCTGAATCTCGATACCTATGACTCTTACTTCCCACGTACGACTTCCAAAGTCCAGGAAGTCGGCACCGTGTAACAATTGTAATTGAAATTGCCGTCTTGGTAGCTTTGAAGCTAATAACACACTCTACCCTTGACGGAAACAATTTCCTCAGAATACACCGAATGAAGTACCTTGACTTTTTGTTCCCCACAATAAAATCCCGAGTCTCAAGTCAGCGGATCAAACTGATACTTGAAGACCTCGGTTCAAAATACCTTATGAATGCAGACAGAAACACATTATAAACCATCCATGATACCACAGCGAAGCGCAGCCTGGGAGACAAAAGGTTTCAAAAACAATGAGCAAACAAAATAGTAGCCGAATGGCGGAATTGGCAGCAACGATTTCAAAGAACACTGAAATTTTTGAGCATTATCTACAACTCCATAACATCCCACCTCTGTCATTCGACAAGGAGGCACCCCTTGATCTAAACCTCCCAACGCAGATTCTTCAGGCCCAGGAAGAGATATTCGAGGCCAGTGTCGAACTTCAAGCACTTGCAAAAGGCCCCTTTGCAAATATCCGTAACCAAACAATGCCGGTCAGTCCTGAACTTTAAACAATCATCCCAAACGAAAAGTGCTTAAGCTAATGCATCATTGCTTCCAACCCCAGCATTGCAATTTGATTTCTCTACAGGCCATCATTCGTTTTGGTATTGCCACAAGCTTCCCTATCGAGGCCAATGTCTCCTACAAGCAAATATCAGAAACTTGTGGTTTGAACGAAGGAGAACTTCGACGGCTCTTGAGGCATGCTATGACCAACTACATATTCCATGAGACTGATGAAGGATTGGTAGCCCACACTGCGGCTTCAAGGGTAATAGCGGAAAACCAAGCTTTCAGAGATTTCATTGGAATGGTGTGCGATGAAATGTGGCCGGCTGCATCTCGTGTAAGCTTCCACCAGTTGGATTCAATTACCTGCGAACACGGCTAAGTATCTGCTGACATACGTTTTTTCAAGACTGTCGACGCGATAGTCAAATGGCCGGGCTCCCAAGAGCCTGCTCATACGGTAATTTTTCATGCTGCGAGTACAAAATGTCTTGACTCACATTCACCAGGGCTTTGCGATCGCCAACAACATCGAAGAGACGCTGTTTTCGGAATTAGGCAAAGACCCTTTTCGAGCCAAGAGATTTAGTAACGCTATGGCCATGGTGAATAGTGAAGTCGGGTTTGAATCATCTCACATAGTTGATGCGTTCACGTGGTGGGATTCCATCAGAACTTTCGTCGATGTTGGCGGTTCTTTTGGAGAAGTCGGTATCGCTCTTGCAAATAGCTTCCCGAGCCTTCATTGTACCATTCAGGATCTTCCAGTCATCGTGGATCAAGCGTCCACTTCCGTGCCCCAAGAGATATCTAACAGAGTGACTTTCATGGCCCACGACTTCTTTACTGAGCAGCCTGTTATGGGAGCCGATGTCTATCTGTTCCGCTGCGTTTTTCATAACCACTCCGATAAGTACTGTATCAAGATCCTCCAACGCTTGATCCCAGCACTGAAGCCCGGCGCTCGAATTGTCATCGCAGAATTTATCGTACCACCACCTGGCTCTGTCTCAAAATATAAAGAGTGGTTGATCCGGCACGTATAATGTTTCTTCAAGAACTTCATTATTCCATGCTGACATACAGTTTCTTGCTCAGATCTATGGACCTTGCGATGGCTGAACTTCTGAATGCAAAAGAAAGAGATCTTGACGAATGGAAAATATTGTTTAAGAACGCTGATGGGAAGTTTGATTTGATCGGAATGAAACAGCCGAAAGGCTCAAAGCTATATTTTATTGAAGCAAGGTGGAACTATCTAAGCTCAAAATTTTGAGCTTGTTGAAGGCCTGTTAGTGATGCGATGATAAGAGGATCTGAATTTCAGAAATTTGAAAGCAGAAAGCGCGAAGGCTGGTAGAATCTCGATAGCAGAAATCAGTACAGGATCGTTATATCCCGAATGGTATGATCAGTATGCGTATCAACGGCTTATTCTCTGGATTGGCTTTTTTTGAGCAGTTTGATTGGCTAAAACTTATTGGAAGTATCACGGCATGGAGATTTTGAGGGATGAGCAGCACAAAAACCTCGATAAAAGCCAGGATAAGCAACGACTGACACCTAGCACCAAGTATTTTTGTTATGATTTACAGTAGAATACCGTGTTCGGCGCAGCCCAGACTTTCCACTAGTAGTGATCTCTAATGAACAGTATTTTTTGTCATACCACGTAGGTGAAGATCGGCTGCTTGGTTTCACTTTGATTTGTTGAACTTTCAACCCCAGCTTGACCAAGCCCCTCACTTGGCAATACCGAGTTTAAATTATATCTGAGCCTATTTGAGTCTTTGGATATTCATTTCAGTACGATCTCAAATCGAACACAACCAAAAAAAGGCTTATCACTTTCTTTGTGTCGAGATATCGATCATGTGATCAAAGAGGGCACTGTATTAGCTAGCGTGGCGCTAGCACTTCACTATATTAAATACTAGCTTCCCATAGATAATAATGATTAAGAACAAATACAACTATAATAGACTAAAGTACTTACACTTATCAACCAAGTTGATACCAACACTTTGATCCAAAGTCCACGGTCCCGGGAACATGTCTGTAGCTCGTGCTTTGCAATATCATAAAAGGCGAATAGAAGTAGAAACGAAGTATCTGTTTCGACATATCAACTAGATATCTATTGAGAATGACGACCCAGAAAGGGAAGTACCCAGTTTCGATTTTGCTTTTAGAATTTCTATATGCTAAGCTAGCTCATACACCTGGGAGGATACAGGGCCAATGATAGTGTGCCGAATGGCGATATGAATATTCGGCGAATACGAGCTCGCTATAACATGACGATTTCTGAATCTCCACACTTGGTTTAGGATATGTGCTCCAAATATCTAGATTGATACTGTAGAATAGGACGAAGGAGATCATAAGAACAGTGAGAGCGAGAGTCCGACGAGTGATATAGAGGATCTCTAAACGTTGGTTGCCATTAAGCTGATAATACATGGGAAATAATATTACACGAGGATGAGTTCGTTGTGTGATATCTTTCTAAGATATCAAAAGCAACCATAATAGTAGTACACAAATGATTAGAGTTTAAGAAATTTTGCCAAAAGCCCCATCTCGCATGTTGACGCCAATACGTGCCTGAAGCAATAGGATATTTTGCCAATGCCGAAATGCCAAAGCTCATGAATACCCCGTCCAAACGCCATTCGTAGCCTAGGTATCCTTGCTCACCATTCCAAATATCGTAACGCACAAATTCACACCCCATGAAGATAGCATACAGACCGCTTTCTATTCATCTTCACCTTCTGCATCCACATCCTCTCCTGCGCCCAGAATCGTGTTCGCTTCAAGATTTGGGTCTATATTAGCATCCTGATCTACATCCGCGTTACGATCAACTGCACTTCCGTCAACTGGTACATCAACCATTTCTTGATCGCCTTCCGCATCAACAAGAGGGCTTTTGACTTTCCCTATTCCCGCCCCTTTGCCTTTACCCAGAAGAATAGGCTTGCCTAGTCCGACACCCTTGCGTGACAAATCTCTTTCTCGTCTCGATCTCGGTGCGGGAGTATCGTAGATCGCCGACTCATCGAGGTCACTTCTTGTCTCTTCATTCTCTTCCTCTTCGTCGCCAAGCAATACCTCGTTTCCCAGCTTACTGCGCTGTTTCAGTAATCTAGGCGGCAAACCAGGACCACTCTCCGCATTCCCAAAATCGCTCTTCTTAGTTCCTTTTGGCCATCTACCAGGCCCACGCCCTGTACCTCCGCTCTTTCTACGCGCTGCAGTCCGCGCCTTTGATGCAGATGCAGAAGTAGTGGATGCACGTCGGATAGGCACCCCCACCGCCCTTCGAGATTTGGGTCGAGCAGATGAAGAAGAGGTTGATAGTCTTGGACGTGAAGGTGGTCGCGCTAAGGTTGGGCGTGAAATAGTTCGAGTTCGAGCACCAGGCAAGGGAGGAAATACTACAAATCGTATAGCAGGGATCGAGGAGGCAAGATCATAGTATGACTTCTTGGTTATACCATTGAGCTTTTGCGTCATCGCTGACTTTCCAACACTGCCTTCTGAGCTTGCAACTCTAATGATGTCACTAGCCCCGGTGTTCATTTTGCCTAATGATGCTGTCATTTCTTCTGTATCACCATTCGTAAGACCGTTCAAGGATGTGCCTTGGACACTTTCATTAGATATGCCTTCGACACTGGGCACTTCGTCTTCGTCCTCCTCGCGTGGTGCAACAGTGTTAAGTGGCGGAGCATGATCATAAGCAGAAGCATTACCTCTACCCATGACGAAAGGCGTCCAAACCAAACCTTTAGGATTGAGTTTAGCGTATCCTTTTGCTTCATGATGGCGAATGACGTCTTTGTAGTAATCCGGCTTCAACTTCATAGCATAAGTGCCAGTTGTGGGATCGCGGACGAGGGTGCCCATGGCATCAAGACCCGAAATAACATCGTCTGGCGTTAAACCCATTTCGTCAGAAATGGCCTTGATACTTGGAATACGTTCAGAGGGCTGAAATCTTTGTAGGTAATAACATAGAACGAGTCGCCAGTAGTTACGGTAAGAGACTAGACCCATGTCCGAAAGTGGTTTCTCAGGAGAGCCAGTCTTCTTCTCGACACGAGTGAGAAGATACGAAAAGTCGATGAGCAAATGACCATATCCCTTCCGTTGATGAATAGGCAGTACGAGGATACATGAGACATTGTTGAGGCTGCTAGGTCGCTTCTCCTTCGAAAAGTAGCCAACGAAATGACAGCCCAATTCGTCATATTCCGTCATGACATAGAAAAGGAAAGGCTCGACATCATAGTAAAGAGTTTTCGACCCGAGAAAGAGTTTTGCTAGGAGACAAAGATTTTGGCAGTACAGTGGGTTCTTGCGGCCATCCACTTCAAAAATCATGATCTTCCCATCTCGGTAAATTTCGTCGCCAGGAGGGTGCTTCCATGGACATTTCGTCTTATGCCTCCAAGCAACAATGTCGGACTCCATATACTTCAAACAGAACTCACATATGAAAAGTGCTTTGTTCCGGCTATATTCTTCTGGATATGGAGCGGCATACCAAATATCGATCTGAAATGCCCCAAAATCAATATATTCAATTTGGCTGGCTGGACCTGAGACCTTGCGTGCCTTTCTCAATCCTGCCTTAGCAGCAGCTTCTGCGGCTGCCGCTGCCCTTGCTTTCCAATCCTCTTCAGCCTTTTGACGAGCATCTTCAAATTGACGCCTATGCTCTGCTCTAGGTAGTGTCAAAGATGTATCAGCATCAGCTTCGGAAAGAATACCACCGTAGGGTTTGGATTTCAGCTCTTCCAATTCTTTCTCGTGAATGGAGGGGTAAAAAGGTTGTGAGTAACTCGAGGGAACGAGGGCGGTAGAAATCGCTGCGGATCGAGCCTTTGAGACGCCACGACCGCCGCGTTTCTTTTTTGGTTTAGGGGGTAATGAGAGGATATGCCTTAACTCCATAGGATCAACGCGAAAGGAGATTTTGAGAGTACCAGGCGTTTTCTCGACAATATTGACTGGCGGGCCTGAGGATGAAGAAGTCTTTTGACGTAAAGATCTTGAAACACGTGGGCTTGTAGGTGTGTCCACCCTCTTCTTATTCTTTTTGCCGTTAGACAATGATAAGCTGCTATCGTTGTCGACTTTGGCTTCATCATGTGGCTCGTCAAATGATGGTTTAGAATTATCGGAAAGTGCATCTCGATCACGGGTCCTTTTTCTCAAAACCAGTCCCTCATCAGCCTCCACGGATGAAGTTTTCCTCTTGCGCAACAAACGTGAGCCATCCATGGGATCTTCTGGTGGTATAAGTTGTTCGAAGACGGAGTGTGAATCTGATTTGATTGTTCCACGTCTTGGCGGTAGTAAATCCCCTGGAACTCTATCCCTTGAAATTCTCCTTTCACTCTCCTTGATTGACGCATCTTCACCATCTACCTCTCCGTCGCCTCCCTCCACATCTTCTTCCTCTGGGCCTTCAAGCATATCGATATCTGCACTTAGACTTCCAGGCACGAGACTGTTTTCGTGACATCCCGGACAATACCATTTTTCCGCCTCTGGAATTTTGTTTTAGCTGCATTATCCAACTCTGTATCGCGGAATAGTACATACCTTCGTCAGACTTAAGTGCATTCGAATTTCGGGCGCATTGCCGATGCGCTACAGCTTTGTCAGCCTTACCGATTATAAATACTGGGTCAACTTACCATTGTCTCCACACATCTCACATGCCAAATAAAGCTCGAACTCTTCACTCGGATCATCGTCCTCATCTTGCTCGCAGAATCTAAGAAGGTATGAGTATATTGAAGACTGTATGAGGAGGAAAAGAAGGGAAACATACATGCAGCGATTCGGATTTACGTGTTCTTCCTCTTCCTCTTCTCCTTCTTCCCCATTAGATTGCCATCGTGTTTCTTCCTCAACATCACTAGAGTCCTTAGATTCGTCATCGTCTTCTTCAATTTCCACGGAGCTGTCGCTATCGGAGCCACTCTCTGCGTCTTCATCGTCGTCATCCTCTAAACCAGGCTGGATTTTGACAGCACCAACTCCCTCCGCATCGTCGTCATCCTCATCTGCTTCGCCCAGCTCTAGGTTCTCATCTACCTCTTCTTCCTCAGTATGACCCATATTTTCTGGCTCGTCAAGCATCTCATCGTCCTCCTCTCCGTCTGCATCTTCATCTGTTGACATACCCTCTTCTCCTTCCGGTCTCTCTCCATCATCCTCCAGATCGCTGTGATTTCCAATCAGCCCATTTTGTAATTGGATGTTAGCAGCATATGCATTTGCATCCTCATTGATTATGTCGGGAACCATGTCGTCATCCTCTTCGAAATCGGCATCATCTTCAGAAGTAGCTAAGCTACGGGAAGGCTCCCCATCCATGAGCACCACTGCTGCTGCCGCTCCCGCCATTCTTTATGAATTGGTTCTCATGCGCGATGTAGATATATTGACACGAGGAGGAATATTTATCGATGTCGAGAATATAGGAGAATGTGGCCTAGGCGGTTGGGTAGCCTTTGCAATCGTTGCTTCTGCGCCCCGCCGGATAACTAGGTAGAAGATGGAATAGTATTCGATTTTTGTCGCCGATTCAATTTATTAGATGCCAAAGGACATACTATACCAACCAAATTAACGTAACTCATGCGCAACTTGCCCAGTCAATTGTTGGATGAATTGTTGTAATTTGGGTATTTAGTACTGCAGTTCGAAGAAGTGAACGCGATGTTTTAAACCAATTCTATCGAAGGACAATTGTGAGAGCCTCAAAGATGTATGCATATGACCTTCCGACGCGTAGATCAAGCTCGATTTGAATTGATAATCATGTGTGGTGTTGTTATTGCGTTCTCAAGGTTTATGAATACCCCAAAGTCGTTGTTCGGGCGGCCTGTTAAGTCTTAGTCATCATTTCACTTCAGTTTGGCGCAAACCAACGTCGTCAATCAATTCCGAGGCTCTCAAAAAGCCTTATCACTCCAATTTAGAAGCCAACAACAAATACAAGGTACGTGCTATATTATTTGCGAGGCTATATGAATGTTACAATGCTAATTAAGTATTAGTAGATAATTACGAAATTGCCACGATGGGTGTTCCTTTCGAAGCTCTTCTTCCATATGGAATCATGCTTGCCGTTCGTCCCTCTACCATTTCCACAACCCTTCCACTACAAAGATTACGATACTGAGTACGGCGCAGATGTTCGGTATTACTGGTGCTGGAATGTCTGGAGTTAGAGCTTTGCAAAATGGTGGAAAGAGAGCCAGACATTCTGTAGATGCCTGGGACAGAGTGAGTATCCTTACGTCTTAACCTTACATTTATGAAGGAAACTAATCGTTCATGCAGCAAAGTAACCTCTATCCTCGGGATTCTACGCTATTATGTATAATACTGACTACAGTGTAGTGATGGACCGTGATAGAAGGTTGACTGGATTCCTTCGAGGGCAAACCGACAACCCAAGTGCTCCTCTGGGATTCGAATTGAATAACCCATGGAGAGTAAGTTTTTTCATTGGGCTTCACAGAGTCTTCTTCACGAAAGTTTTACTTATACTAACGTCAACTCAACAGCTGGAGAAGAGATTCATCTAGAGACTTTAGTTCAACTACTGTACATACCCCAAACGAATTCAAACAAGCCACAAAAATTTATGATACTCGTGCCTATAAAAGGCTTTGGATGGCCTGGTCCAGAGATGATCCTATGAATCGAATTATTTGCTGAGTACAAGACTATGTCCCTCGATTGAAACTGCGTTTGTGATGTTGGACAAATTGCCTGTTTAACAAAATGACTTCTGTATGTTGCCTGAAGACTGCGATGATCAAAATTTCTCGCCTCTACCCTCTTGTGTTTTCCCTCATCACACTGAATTTTTGCTACGGCATTATGTCAATTTGAGTTCAACGGTGTATGTACATAACTGGTTCCCACTCTCAAAGATCGTAATACTTCATTCTGAACTGCTGTTTGTACTGAATTTGTTTGTCTCATTACTTGGCATGCATCGAATTTTTTCATCATTTCTTGCGGTGTATGAATGACAGTTGTAGCCGTGTGGCTATGTGCAATGTTGGAGCTTTCTGTGAGTCCGCATGTCCACTTGCGATGCCCGGAAAGTATCGTCCTTAGATATTCACCCTTCTAGTACTCATCTGAACAGGGTTTATGTAATTGATCTCGGGATCCCTCTGCTTCCTGGAAGAAATCAGAACCTCCAGCTACTCGTGCGGCCAGAAAGTATGCCACACTCCACTCACAGGCACGTCCCATAAGGTGGTAAAATACAAGATGATTGGTGGCCCATATTTAGGTGGAGTGTTGCATACTTTCTGGCAGCACGAGTATGAGTATATGGTGGTGTTGTGTATTCTATGTACTTCTGCTAAATCATACTAATTCACGGCTGTCAGGGATTTCTCGCCCCCTCCCATTAGCATATTACCTACATTGAACGACCCGCAATCTATAGTACTCTAAATCTCTCCATATCGATTATCAGAATCCATTCAACATCGTGAGTTCCGAAACTACGGAGATACATGGAATAAGTTTTGTTACACCGCTTTTGTTTTGCCATCAATAGAATCATTCTGGCCATACAAACTGATCCCGGCTGGCGAAGGCGGTGTAACATAACTTATTCCATATACCTCCGTAGGCTGTACATTCTGAGGTCTATGTTTATGACCTGCTTTACGTGCCAATATTTTCTTTAACAATGCGACTAGAGATAAATATCGGGTCTATGTTTTTCCTAAGATTTGAACAATGCTACATCGGGTCTATATTTTTCCTCACATCTGAAGAGTCTTATAGACCCGAGGAAATTTGTTTTACCCTAGTCGTATTATTACCGTTCCTGATATCGATAATCCACTTTTCAGAATAGAAACAAGTAACATACCTATTAGATAGCCTTGATTGAGACGGCTTGGGATGTCGGTTCAGATAGAAATAAACGGGTTTGCGCCTCAAGATCCTCGACATCCAGATGGCTTTCACATGCAAATCACAAGCAGGATCGATGCCTAGATAATATTGTACCCGCTCATGCATCTCGTCATTCTAGATCACATAAGGTAGTCTTGGTTTTGATATTTCACATTGCATAAAATGCCGATCGATGTTTTTAAGTGCAAACTTGTTCCATCCATGTGCATTCAAGGGCTTTCATTTGATATGAATGGCGACAATAGTTTGATCCCTAGATTTTCCGCAAGACAACGATCACATTGCGGCCCCTCAATTTCGCCGGCTTGACATTATGGGTCCGATTTTTAGAGATAATGATATGTATGATAATTGGCCATGAAAGGACTGGGCACTCTCTGCCCTGTTCAAAACCTTGGCTGCCGCCCAAAATCTATTTAAAAAACTCCTCGAGCGGAAGACCACTATGCACCAGGTAGGAGTGGAATACTTGAAAGTAGAGGGCTTCCTTCCTCCTCCCCACCAGCCGATTCGGGTCTTGCGTACAACCGAATAAGCTAGCAGTGCTATCACTTGGCACCTTTTTTCCATAAATTAGAGTTAAATTCATACAACCTTAAATGGGGAATAACAGTGAATAACAGTACAGTATCACTTTGATACCGCTTAGAATGCCACTCTGCCAGAAATTTAATGTAGGTAGATATGTTTAACAAATGTAGCTCGTCCTTCAATCATCAAAAACTGTTAATGAGTTGGGCTTCGCGAGGTCACTTTGTAGAAGAGGGTTCAATCCCTTTGTAGACGAAAGGATCTTTGTTGCTGCGAGAAATTCGGTGCTTGGCTTGTGCGTCGCCAGTGAGTATTTGAAAAGTACTGTGTTGGCTATTCGAGACAGTAATTGCATATTGTGAATGCGGATTCTAGCTACCCAGCACTTTTTTTGTATTGTTTTTGTAGGATCTTACATCTCACTCACAACATCCACCCACTTCAACCAACGCATCAAAGTATGCTTTCTACAAAACAGTAGAAATATAACGCAGAAATAAAATGAGACCCGAACACGGAGAATGATTTGTTGTCATATTCAGATAACAACATCCACAAGATTTTGGGCGCATATGCTCATGAGAGAAGTTTTTTGATCACATCGCAAGCATTATGCGTCCTTTACTAGATGGATCTTTACAGCAGCTAACTCAACTTTCCTGTTCGATCTGGTTCGAAGTACTGTGCGAAATTCAATGATCATCCAGGAATTCTTACTTCAAAGAACCCGTCGATCAAAAGGCTTCAAATATGCAGTACTTCGCCACCAATCCCATACTTACATGCAGGAGCGTGAACAAGTGATAACTGCCAATGATAAAGATAAAGAGACAATGAAATTGGTGCTTGAAGTATAAATCCCTGTCTCGAATGCATGCTATTCAAGCATGAAGGGGTGATTGGAAGGGGGAATAGACAGGTCTTCAACCACTCCGGACTGGTGACCTAAATCTGGATGTTCAAAGTTTGAAGGTGGTGGACAATTTTGAAAAGATATGAATGATTGAATTGATTTGAATGAATTTTTGAAATTCGGAAACAAAAAGGGTTCTCAGACTGCTAGAACCCTGAAAATAGACCAGTGCTGTCGCTCTTCACATTGATGATAGGGAATCCACTCCAGATCCACCTCAGCCTCAAACATTTGTATCCATCTCATCTAGGAATAAACTTCGAAGTTCAGGCTGAGATATTCCTCTGTGCGAAGATTCAAAATGGAGACCCTCGGGAAGGGTCGATCACCCGTTCTCATTTGCAACAGTAGTATATATGATCCATAGAATCTACTCCCAAGTACCTTGAGGATGAAGATTTTCAGATCAAAGAATCATTCTTTGTCATGAAAAACTGAAAAAAGAGGTATCGGCGCAACTTCGTTAATTCATCAACTTGAGTTTCTTGGCTTCCGAAGACTGCATGATGATATTGTGAGATAAATGTCAGCAGTCGACGTTTGGGGCCGACGAAGATGTATATTCTCTCACTAGAGAGCTTGGCTACATACATATATGCAATATTCAAATGAATACGACCATAATGATGACGTTGGTGTGTGATAAGGTATTTTTCAACCGTAATGAAAATCTTCAAAGATCCCAATCTTCACATGAAGTGAAGTGTGGATGTGTCTCAGACACGCACTAACCACTTCTGGTTAGATTCTGCGACTCAAACGCCCAGCTAAGAGCCACTTTATTTTAAATGCCGGAACAAATTATCTGCACCAGCTGTGTATGTGCAACAATCAACATTCATCTCATCTGTATGGGCAACTCTGGGCGGGAGCTTGGCTTGATGTGTTATCGAGCAATGCACGATCTACCGGTAGTCTATTTTAGCTCCGTCGGTCCATTACCGGATCTGTTTCCGGGCCCATGCTTCTTCTTGGCAATTCTTTGAACTAACGCCCAACATGTCTTAAGGCTATTCGGAGGTTGGAGATGATGTGGATCAATAACCTTTTTGCCTCTTGTCGATCCCCTCCTATACGACAGCTACGACATATACTCTTCCAGAAAGAAATTTCACTGCCAGAGTATACTTTATTCTCCGTACCAAAAGGTAGATTTTTACAATATACTTACTTCAGCTGTTTTTTTTGCTGTGTCTTCCGCTGTTCGGTACAACATGATGTGCTCGAGGCACAGATTACCAAGCTTGGCTTTTCCCATCCTTTGACGCATTGGCCATGATGGAGGAAGAAGAAATACTTTAACTTTGCCAGTTTGTCTTCCGTTTCCTCGTTGCCAATCACGTTTTGAGAGTTCTCGAGGCAAGGAATTGAGAACTGTTATATGTTCTCCACCTGCGAGTCTGATTCAACAATTTGGCATTCTACCTTGTGCGCAGGGCCGTGTTTCTCTGCCAAGCGGCTCAGTCCGCTGTTATATGTCCATACTTGCCTAATCAGGATTGCTGTTTTCGTCCTGTGTGGACTTCTCGAACCCCTTTTAGTGTGGATGGCGAACTACTCCCCGAACTCTAGGCACACTGCATTAAACATGTATCTTATCTTTTAGATTATCAGATACTTCATTGTTTCATGCTAACTTCCAAACAAAATCTCAACTCCACCGTAACAGGAGATGGATCAACGGTTAGCACAAGGTTTCGATTCATTCTCATCTTTTTTCCTCCTTACCTGTCTCCACCAATGCTTCATAATCCTCAGGGCTGTGCCGTCAAGTGGATTGCGAGGATATACCTTTGCATGCTTGATGTGATAGATGACTATGCGCAATCACCTTCAATCCCCAGGTGATCCACAGCTCTCCTGGAGATTAGTATAAACATGGAGAAAGACCCTTCTACCTAGGTTTGCTCTACTCATTGTGTTCCTTCAACCCATCTCTTCTAAACATTAGCCTTTTGACGAGCTGTATCTTTGCTTCTCCAATCACAGCCTAGATCTAGAATATGGATTCAGTCAACCCCGGCCCTGTTATCGATGACAAACCTTCATCAACTTTCAATCAATCACGCGGAGTTCTAGAGCAGTCACAAACTTTGAGCTCTCAACATGAAGACTTGAACACTTCAAGCCAGCGAGGAGATGAAGCCATAAATGCGTCTCTCGAGAGCCGACCCAATGGCATTTTTATCATAGAGCCCAATCACCCGAGAACTCGAGATTCCTTCGAAGGCGACATAGAAATATCTACTGAATTTTTCGACGACAAAGAACATCTAGATAGTAGCGCCGTCACATCTTCCGCCAATAGTGTATATGTCGCGAAGCAAGAGTTAGAAGAGCCGCCCTATCACATCTTTTCTATGGCAAAGAAAAGACAGCTTGTGTATATAGTATCTCTTGCAGGCTTGTTCTCTCCATTATCAAGCAACATCTATTTTCCAGCCTTAAAGGAGATTTCCACGGTATGTACACAGTCTGTACCATAATTTTGTACTATCTTAGTCTAACAGTGTCTAGGATTTTAATGTTTCTCTTTCACTTGTTAGTCTAACTGTAACAGTTTATATGATTGTTTCAAGGACTTGCTCCGTCATTCTGGGGGCCAATCAGTGACACAAAAGGTTAGTACTTCCTTACGTTATAAATAGTACTCTTCGTAGCGCCCCCCACTTTATGAATCTTAACGGAAACCTCTTTTTGATATCACACTAACACAATCTCAAATTAGGAAGGAGAATTACGTTCATGGGTATGCTCGTAGATGATCGAAACACGGATATGTCTAATGTTTTCTAGGTACATTTATCGTATATCTCGCTTCAAATATCGGTCTGGCTTTTAGTGATAACTTCGCGACCCTCATGGTCTTCCGCGCAATACAAGCTGCCGGTAGTGCCGCAACGATAGCTGTCGGTGGGTAACTCTTATAAGTTGATGATGAACTTGACTGATGATCTGAACAGGTGCTGGAGTCATTGGGGACATCACAACTCCCAAAGAACGCGGAGGTAAATTAATTTTATTTCTGACTTCTGTTCTTGATCGCTCCGAGCTAATAATATATGTGTAGGTCTCATTGGCATATTTGGTGGTATCAGAATGTTAGGGCAATCCGTGGGCCCAGTCTTTGGAGGAATCATCACTCAGTATCTGGGATTCCGCGCGATATTCTGGTTTCTTTTTGGCTTGGGTGCGCTAGCTCTTCTCTTAATCGTCGTACTTCTTCCAGAAACGCTTCGAAGTTTGGCTGGGAACGGTTCTATCATCCTTAAGGGTATCCATCGACCATTGTACTATGTACAACCATCTACGGAACACCCCTCCCAAGAACTTCCCACAAAGAAGAATGTTACCGTTTCCTCAGTCATCGCTCCTCTCAAGTTTTTACTCGAAAAGGATGTCTTCGTTACACTGTTTTTCGGTGCTATCATCTATACCGTCTGGTCCATGGTAACATCCAGTACCACCGCCCTATTTTCGGAGCACTTCGATCTCAACAATCTGGAACTCGGATTGATCTTCTTGCCAAATGGCGCCGGTTGCATCAGCGGTTCCTACCTCACAGGCTATCTCATGGACTACAACTACAAAGTCGTCGAGTCTCGTTACCGCAAACAACACAACATTCCGGCCGATATTCAAGTCAAGGCCAATGAACTGCTGGATTTTCCTATCGAAGTCGCAAGAATGAGGAACATTTGGTGGATTGTCATAGTTTTCGTTATTACCACGGCCCTTTACGGCTACTCATTGAACCTCGAAATTATTGCTCTTCCACTAGTTCTACAATTCTTTATTGCATACACGGCTACTGCGGTCTTCTCTTCCAACAGCGCCTTGATCATCGACCTTTACCCCGGTAAATCGGCAAGCGCTACCGCTGTAAACAACCTCAGTAGATGTTTGTTAGGAGCAGCTGGTGTGGCTGTAGTGCAGCTGATTATTGATGCATTAGGTTCTGGGGTGACATTTTTGATATTCGCTGGAATAACTTTCGCGTGCACTCCATTGTTGATGTTGGAGTGGTATCACGGAGGAAGATGGAGGACGGAAAGAGCCGAAAAGTTGAAGAAAAAGGAAGAAGCCAAGCGCGCAACAGACTTGGAGGGATGAGACTTGCATATGTATATCCCAAACAGCAAATTATATCATCGGGTCAAGAGAATGACAGACGTCACGGATGGATAGAAGTGGACCTCTGCCTCTGATCTTGAGACATCTATGGTCTTGCCACCATTATTAGAGTGTGTGGAGCCCCGCATCCTATGATCAGACCTGCTTATGGCAGCTCATTGACGATGGAAACTTGGATATCACAAGTTCCTCGAACACCTGGAGCAGATCAAAAGATCATGCGAAGAGAAGTAGACCTGTATTCAAGGCCTGATAAAATGGCCTTGATAATGAGAATGAGGGGATATTGGGCGGTGTTGTAATATCATTACAGTCGCCACAACCCGGATTATCAGATAGATGAAAAGATACCATAACGAAAATTTTCAATTATTTAACATTAGCTGCTGTTATGAATTTGCTGCGTGCTATGTATTTATGCTACCTGAACCTCAGTGATGATTTCGGTGAAAAGCATTCACTGTCCTACATATACACTAGTTATTTAGCATTAGGTAGTCATTAAGAGCTATATCTCTCCTGAATTTGCCGTCTCAACACGATAGTGATCACAATGAACGCTCCCGTACACTTACAATAACTTCGAGTACAAAAGTTGTAATTTTTGCAGATTTCGCGTTTGTCTCAACTACTTCAATTCCAATGGGAGCGCTTACGAATATGCCAGCCCCTTTCTTCACCGCTTAACTAGAGCTCAAAGATAGGTAGATACACTACGCTCACTGAAATCCTTCATGGGGCGTCGTAGCCTAGAAATCAGACGGATAGTCGACGCTAATCAACACTAAACTTCAAACCCTGCATCTGTGACGTTGAATGATTCTCACAATCCTTTCAACTATTGGCAATAATTAACGGGACCTGATTCTAAGGCTGAATTAGATTGTTAAGGGTCTCTTGGTATAAAATTGTGTCAAGGTAGTGCAGGGGTAATTAGGGGTCTCTCTTGTCAGGGTTCTTTTGGATGTTGAGTATTCATTTTTTTGGATTTGATTTAGAAATTTGCGAGATCTATAAATCGAGTCAGGCTGAAAACCGGATTTACAATGATTTCTGAGGTAGCTAGGTAAATGGTCAACAAACTATTGCAATGTACGATTTATGATAGTGCACGAAAGTATAGCCAATGACTACGCGTGTTAACGAGAATTGCGATGATTTCGAAATCTACATGTATTAATCTACAACAAAGGCTTGGACATAGGAGCAATGATGCCTTGTTTGACCATGATTCTTGGCTTGGTCGAGTCCTGGAAGGTCTCCTTGGTAGCCCATTCCGGACCAACTGGCAGTCGTAATGAGCGCTCGTATTGTTGGCGGTTCTCGAAAGGATGAGGTAATTGTGATGCATAGTATTTACCATTCTAAAGTCTTCGTTAGTAACTGAAAAAAACAGGAACAGCTGTATTCTACATACCTTCTTGACACGTTTTTCGTTGATGATAACGCGGTCAAGCTTTGCATCTTTCCTGTTCTGCTCCTTGATACCCTCAGACTTGGTAAGGAATCTTCCCTTATTCTTTGCCTTTTCTCTTTTGCTCACGCCGTCTCCTACCCAACTTCCCCAACCGGGGATGGTGTTATCGATGACTTTCTCATCCTCATCCTCGATGGTCTGCTTTTTCTCCGCTTCAAAATCACCGACGACATCAGCTCCAGCGAAGGCACGCTTGATAAGCTCCTGGTCTTTGATTGCGAATGGAAGATGAATAGCGCCATCATCCTCACTATCTTCATCAGAAGCCTCAAGAATCTGGGCTGTCTTTGACTTCGCCTTCTTAGATTTGGGTTGCTTGGCCATTACAGCAGCTTGTGACAAATCAAGCTCTTCGGCATCCATAGCACTGTTGCTCTTATGTCTGCGTTTGTTTGCCTCCTTTTTGCTGACCATGCCCGATTTCAGAGGTACTTTTGACCAAGCTCCACCTTCAGTAGCCACCTCTGGTTCTGCGACAGATGACTTTCCAACACCTCCGCTCGAGCCGTTCGTCTTCTTTGCCTTTGGTGCAGTAGCAGCTGCTTTAGGATTATTGTCAACCCCTGTGAATTCTACATCCATGTCGTCCTCATCCTCTGAGTCTGCAGGTTCTTCGAATTCATTCAAGTTTTGTGGTTTTGTCGGAGCATCTTTAACTTTAGAGCCAGGCCCAAATGTTCTACGCCCAATATCGCCATCTTCTTCCTCTTCACTAGAGCTTTCTTCCCCTGCGAGCTCCTTTCTCATTTCCTCGACCATAGCATCATTTGCCTTCTTGCGAGATTCTTCGGCATTCCGCATAAACTTCATATTTGCCAACTTTGCTCCTGGAGCGGAGTCGTCAATGATATCGTCTTTTCCTGCCCTTTCCAGGCGCCTAAGAAGTCGTTTCTGCTCCGTTCCTTCGTCGTCATCGCTCATATTATCATCAGAATCGTCCATGGATTCATCCGAGTCGTCTTCAAACTCTTTTCTCACTGCTCTTCCTTCCACTCTCTTTCGCAATTCCTCCTCTCTTCGAGCCATTTCAGTGATACCGTCCCTAGCATCTTCATCCCATGCCGCTCGACCTGTAGCTTTTGTGGCTTTGGCCCACTTACTGTTTCGGTGCTTTGCTCCCATTCTCTCAGTCGCACGTTTTCTGTCCTGAGCCTCAAGCTCATCTTCAGAAGGAACAAAACCGCCCTCTTCAAGAGCTGCTTTGTTTTTCGCCTCTTCTCTTTCACGTTGCTTTCGATGGACTTTGCGATAAGACTTGCTCTTGATTTTCTTAACCCTCTTCGCCTTAAGCTCTTCTCGGTAAAGGAGCTCTCGAGCCATTCGTAAGTGATCTCTACGAGCTTTCACTTCCTCCATGGATAGTTTGTTCATTTCCAATTCCTCAAACTCTCGGATTTTATCCTCGCCATCTCTTCCACCCGCAGTGGCAAGTCCACTCTCCTCAAGAATACTCTGGATCGTGGCCTCAAGTTCATTGAATGGCTTGGATTGTGCTGTAGATTGAAGTCGAGTGTTTGCGCGTGCAGAATCCGCATCTGGATCCGCCAAGGGGAAAATCAAGTGGTCTGCTCGTCGATTATGTTTTACCGTGTCTGTCCATCTATCCAAAGTTTCTTTACTCTTGTCGTACGCTACACTGCGATCGAGTCGGTCTTGTTGACGCCTTGCAAGAGGCACTTCTAACGTGCTAGCAGCCTTTTTTTTGTCATCGCCCTTTTCAGACTTGAGAGCCTTTTTAATTGAACGATCATTGATCTTGCTTGGGCCAAGGTCTGTGATGAATTCTTTTGTCGATGGGAGACCAAAGTTTCCGGGGGTAGCATATTCGCTCACGCCATCATTTCGTCGTTTGGCGAGGGCTTTTTCATTGAGTGGAAGATTAGCAATTAAAGCTTGTAGTGCCGCGTGTTTCGACGGATCCATAGAATCATCTTCATCTTCGTCATCGGCAGATGATGCGGAAGACTCTTCGTCGCTTTCTTCATCTTCGTCGTCAAAGCCGGATTGGTTTGAGCCTTCGACCTCGGCTTCATCCTCATCGTCTGACGAAGCGTCTAACATATCTGCGAGATCGACAGCACCCTCTCCTAAATCACCTTCCTCCAATTCTGATCCGGAGTCCTCCCCATCATCATCCTCATCTAAGTTTAATTCTTTATTTTGCGGCATGCGCTTCTTGGAGCTCTTGTTATTACTCGAACTCCCCGAAAACGCATATCCTTCGAATCTTTCCTCGTCACTCTCCCCAAAAGCTTCGTCACTGTCAATATCGCTATCGTCATCGCTGTCCACCACACCCATTTTCCATGTGTTCCCTTCACTATCGCTTCCCTCGTCGATATCTAGCTCATCGAATCGACCTTTTGCTGGTCCCTTTTTTTGTTTTTTTGCACTGAACTCTTCGTCTTCTCCCTCATCTTCGTCGCCTTCATCTCTATCTCGCTTCCCAGGTCTATTACCGCCTTCAGCGTGACCCAATCGACTTTGTCTTACTCGATGGCGTTCACCAATTTGTTGCTGTGCGGCAGAAAATGCATCGATAGTCTTATTCTTCGATTTTGTTCGAACTTTGGGCTGCTTCAACAGCGATCTGCCATGCGATTGTCTTCCAGGCATGATTGCGCTTTAAAAATTATTGTCGCAATATTTTGCTACAAGCGTTGATTATCTTTTATCAATTTTATCGGGAAACTTTTTTTCTGCTAATGTAGAAAGGCGGTGACCTAATCAGGTAGTTCAGGATCGGATAATGCGGCCGCCGGACGAACCTTAGCGTCTAAGACAATTTTGGAGAAGCATCTTGAGTCTGCAAAATCCAAAGTAAACTCCTAAACATCAATCGCAATCATGCAGCCCACACAATGCCTAATGAAACGGGTAGCCCGACATGCCCTGAGTACGAAGAAAGCAAATAAAGGGTTCTACAAGGGTACTGGAAGTGGTTCAACCGGTCGACATACACAACATGGAGGGTACATAATCGAGTGGGATAAAGTCAGGACATACGTTGTGCCGCCAAATCTTAAGGAGTGTAAAGTACGAATTCGTAGAGATCAATCTGGAATGCTTCACGGGGCGCTGACTGCGATTTAGCTTACACCATTTGTCACAAAAAAGATATTGCCGCCGAGAGGAAGATTCGAAAATGATCCCAAAGGTGCTTTCAGTGGAGAAGCATACCTGCGGAAGTGGAAGGACATTTCGGATGGAATGACATAAATAATTGGTGTGAAATGGTATGGGCGCTTTTCTAATTCTGCGGGTTCTTTTACTAAATATTCTTAGGGTTTATGGGAAAACGGCGTTGACAATTGTATCAAAAAATGTATCAAAACGATAACATGAATATCATACCCCTCGGATTGAAACCTGGAGCGTGAGATGAAGTTGCGCGTGTTCATAGTATCTGAAAATCGGGCGTATACTGTGAAGTGGACATACCTGATAATACTGGCCAGCTCAAATTGAGCAGCCAAGTTGTTCATTGGTTATTGTAACGAACGCTGTGATTGGCATGCGATGTTATCTCTGTATATGGGCTTCCATTGTCGAAATCTATTCTAAAGCAGGACGTATTCCCGAAATATTATTTTGTTTTTACAAGCCGAACTACTTATGAGATACGCCAGGTTCTCAGTGGACATGACTTCAGTATTAAACTTATTTGTCTTCTGGGAGTGGCTAAACAAGGAGTTGCCCAGGTACTCGAAGTTCATTAAATGCCTTCTTTTTGGTTGAAGTGCAATTATGTCTTCAAATCCATCCCTCAACATGCTTGCAATATGGAGGTATCCAAGGGGATTGGTCTCCCCCTCCTGTCGGATTTCATCTCTCGACATTGTATACTCTCCTCAATAAGACCTTACGGTCTTCTACTCGTACTGCAATCTACACCATGATTGTTACCAAATCATAAAATCGACACCCATTGTGCAACTCCAAAGTTTAATATTACATCCTTGCTTCTCTTGTACTACTACTATTGCAATCAACCTGGCGACCAGCTCTGACAGACTTCTGATAATCTTGGGATCGTGTGAAGAGCAATTGGCAATTCAAATCCCGTCGGCGACGAATGTAGGTCGACCCTGTTGTCGATGTATCTATCAAATTTGGATTAGAAACTTGCCATTGTTACAACTCGTTCTAAAGACTTATACATTGCTTCCCCATTCTTGTACCAGCTAACCTAGTTTCTAACTTGGTTCATACACCCGCAGAAATTGACCAAAAATTATCGGTGTAGAATTTACGTTTTGGTGGATGACTGTTTCAAGATATCTCAACGGAGATATTTTCTTGATTCAAAACACTGAAATCTAATCCACTTGCCAACAATTTTCAGAAAAATAGCACAACGGCATCTCTCATCAAACTCCTATCTACACCAGCGCAAACCTGGGTACTCTAATATCGCACAGCTGATTCACGCGGGGGTGAAATGACCGTTCCGTAATCTTGGGGCGCGCCCTAGATTAAGATGTCGCCACAGCATCATCCTAATTTAAGCGGTTCAAGAGGCATCGTAGTCAGCGTCACATCGCGTCACAGGCAAAAAAAGCCAATGACGTAGTTAACAGATCGAGACATTCTCCACTGCAAACTAAACGCAGCACGGAACTTCACTTCTCGACAACGAGTTCCAAAAAATGGTGGCAACGATTCTCATAACAGGATTCTCTCGAGGGCTAGGCTTGGCTCTTGCTGCCGAGTTCTCGAAGGCTGGTCATTTGGTCTTTGCAACTGCTCGAGGCGATCCCACTCCCGCCCTTGAAGAATTGATAAAGTCATCTCAAGCACCGTTCAAGTACATAAAGCTCGATGCCACCAGTAGATCAAGTGTACAAGAAGCAGAGAGGCAGGTTGCTGCCCTCTTGGACGGCAAAGGCATCGATGTTTTAATCAATAATGCTGGAGTAATAAATTGGATGACGACTGGAATACATGCCATGTAAGTCTCATACAGATTATTTCACTTCTTTCAGAACATATGTTTTGAGATACTAACTCCTTGATTTCTCAGGGATGATCTTGATTCCGTACTCAATTCGAATGTCACAAGCGCTCATATCGCCACCAGCACATTTCTTCCTCTCTTAAAGCGAGGCACCCAGAAGAAAGTCATCAACATGTTAGTAGCCAACGTATTCTACGCTTGAAAGAAGATTCTGACAATGGAACTCAGGAGCAGCAGTGGTGGTTCAATCGAGCGGTCCCATGTTTACAGTACCATGGCAATTCCGGCCTACAAAGTTTCAAAGGCCGCCTTGAACATGCTTACAGTTCAGTATGCGCAGTCTTATGCCGAAGAAGGGTTTACTTTCCTTGCAGTCAATCCTGCGTAAGTTCATTGCTGCATTTTACAATAATCGAAATCCACTCCCGATGAATGCGGACTCAAAATCAGAGATAGGCTAACTCGGGAGATTAGTGGCTTCGAACTGATCTAGGAGGCGCCTCCGCAGATCTCGATGTAGAAACTGGCGCAAAGGCTGTTGTTGAACTTATCGAATCAAATGGAAAGGAGTCGAATGGCAAGTTTTTAAACATTCGAGTAGCAGGCTGGGAAAATAACAAGGGGATCAACCAGTACGATGGCAATGTTTTGCCTTGGTAAGATGACAGTAGGGATGAGCTATACCATTAGTCTGGAGAAATTGCATATGTTGGAAAGGTCATGTATTCATAATTGAAATTCCGTATCGGTGTGCTGTTGGCAAATCTGGTGAAGCATACCCATACGCACAATACAAGGCGTATCTAGTGATGCGATTAAATGATGGCTACTGAAAATTGGCTGTCTTTTCTAGAACAGAGACAATCCCCTACGTCACAAAGATTTGTTAAATAGCAACTCGGCTACATAGGAACGAAGGAGGTTTGTTATCTTAGCAAGTCCTAGACCATAGAACATAAAGTCTCCTTCGAAAAGCTCCTTGTTTCAGCACTACATCTAACAAAATAACAAAGCTTTACATCTCCCTTTAAAAAGTGACTATGTGAGTATCTTCGTTCTCTCAAAAGTATCAGCGAATATTTCTGGTCAGCCCATTGTGCTGTGGGATATTAGCATAGATATCATTCATCACCTGTGGATCTTGTTAGGGACCTTACAATAAAAGAATGTGTTCACATTGTATATTTCAATAGATCCCCCGATCGCCTATCGACTCGTCGTCGCGGTTTGCAATGAAAATAGGAAGACCCAGGCGCAATTATCGAGTCGTACAAAAGAGAGCTGAACTTGTTACTATATCATCTTAAATATTAACATAGCAGCAAATTATAAGGCGTGGACGCAACCAAGAAAATACTCAATATCTTCCACATACCGAAGATGATACTATAGATTTTCTTGTTCGTCTAATATTCGTGACACTGGATATTCTTGTTTTCCAGCCTCATGGATTGCCGAAATATCGTCACCAATTTGCACTGATCCCACTTCATAGGTAGGTAGCTGAGGATGATAATTCAGATCACGAGCTTTAACAATTAAAGTTAAGCTAAACGAATCACTTGACTTTTTACTAATTCTTCAATACGAAGCGAAGTACCTGAATTTTGAAAATTTACACCAGAAATAAGCCATGGAATTAGCATTGTTATTTCCAGATGATAGATGACACTTCAATCATTCATATTGGATGTTCATACCTCGAGCATACCTACTACCTTCCACCCCACCCACGTGCCATCTTTCAGATGATTTGATTTACGTTGTATCACGTGAACATCTATCCTCTCTTGGCACTCCATTGATGGAGATGAGTTCTGCACAGGCGACGCGGGCAATTGTTTGAAAAACATTTGACAACATCTCTTCTTTTCGAAAGACATCTATACATTCCCAGGTTCTCTCTAACTAACGAGCGACATAGTAAAGTGAATTATACATTTTAGAGATGAGTTGAATTGGATCAGGCCGAGGTAGGAAGACGGGAGGTTGGCCTAAGGTTAAGGTCAAGTGTAAATCGCAAAACATTGAAGCGGTGCCAGCCTACTCACCTGTGTACCTAGGTAGCATTCTCATCAAATGGGTTGAATTTCAATGTCTATTCGTCATTCTTGTTCCGAGTATTCGTCTGTATATATCACACATCTTTAATATTTGGTTTATATTCATAATTGTATCTCTTTGAAAAGTTTCAAGAGACATTCATCATACTAATATAGTCACACATGTTATACATACCATGCATGCACCTGAGCCCTAAAAGTAAGACATTTTCTTGGAGCTTACAATGACACAATTGATTAGTTCAGGAAAGATGATCACAAAGTCGCGCTCATCTGATACTTATTGAGGATTTTTAGAAAACGATTGCAAAATATGTTGTTCTTTTCTTATTTTTACTTTCACTTATCTCCGAAGTTTTGGAGGTTTCTAGAAAAGTCGAGGTGTAAGATTTTGCATTCCTCGACTCAACTAGACTCTCTTCGAAAAAATTCCCGGCCCCAAGACATTCTGACCATTTTCCAGACACGCGACCAACGCGCCTCCATCAATCACCAAAATATCCCCCTTTTGATATCTCAATATTATTTCCATGATGATCATACATCATTCAAGTAGTGATGTATCACACTACTATACTGACGTCGATTGACACGACGCCGTCAGTAGTATAAATCTGATGATACACAACGGGCCGAATGTACCTTCCTCGAGCTCCATGATGCCGAACTATCTCGTCATTCCACAAGTATTGAATTTTTGCCAAATCGCACCCAGCGTGCTCGGTGATTGTCATTCTGACACAAACCTATTGAATTACTCACGTTCGAATTATTATCCTATCACCTATTAGAATCTTAATTGTTGTTATCTAAAATAACAACAAGCATACCTAGACGGGAAGTCTCTCCTCATTTTACAAGCACGCTCAATTTGCCAGTGATATTGAGATGAAGAAGTGAATGATGTACTTAAATTAGACTTCAAATTACACTCGAGTTATATCATTTGACGGAAGCCGAGAAATCACTTAAGAACCCTTAACTCTTACCACCTTCTTTTTCTTTTCCCTCGATCTACTTGCACTCTTCCCAGTGTTTTGGTAGTTAACAAGTTTCAAGTATGAAGCAAATTATTAGATTTCTTGTTCCCTATATTCTTGCCGCAATTGTGAGCGGTGCACCTTTTCCTCAAGGACAAGGCGACCATACCTCGCTAATCACAAAGAACATACATACTGTTCAACCCAAGTCTCTTCTCCGGGACGAAACTTCTTCAGATGGATTCCTATTTCTTTCATCGCCGGGTGCGATTCTAAGTTCTTCCATAAAAACGACGACGGTCATTCCATCAGTCTCCGTGCTGACCACTTCCTCAATCTCCGGCACTGTGCAGGTTACAGTGCAAGTTCTACCCTCCCCGACTATCGGTTCTTTCGACACAACAGGAACAGTGATTTCCAGTCTCGAAACATCTGGTCACGCTACCGACCCTCCTATAATTACGTCGTCCATCCCTTCACCCACAACTCGGATGGCCCCTACTGCTCCAACGCCGGTCAATTTTAAAATCAATACCGTTGCAGCAGATGCCAATATCTTCCAGCCAATCGACACCTCACCTCCTCCGTCTAATCTAGGCTCTCGTTCAGATCATCCAGTACCTCGGCTAGGAATCAAAGCACAAAGTGCACCACTTGATACTAACAAGTTTTACGCTAATTTCTTCCTCGGTATGTAATCTCCTATGTGGAATTGGAAAAAGGACATTTTCGATGAATATTATTTTCAAACAGCTTTCGAAATGCAAACTAATGATTGAATAGGAAGTCAAACATCCCCCACCTGGACGCATCCATACTCACTTGCTTGGTCAAAAGGAGGTGGTGCCACCAAAAGCTGGGGAATGACCCTCGTCCATATAGATGCCAATCAAAGAGTATTTGGACCAAATAATACAGTTAATTCTGCTTCATATTTCTTAAACCCAACTGGGTTACAATCATTGGTTCTTTCGGCTGCAGAACTAGGCTCATCAACAACTTTGACAACCGACTCTCTGACTGATCTTTCGGTCAATGTCAACTTAAGTCCTACTCCCGGTGCCGCCCCTGCTATCAAATTTCCTTTGGTTCAAGGAATGGGCTTTGTGACAGCTGTTTTTGCAGGTGCTACCCCGATCTTACAAAGTGGCATCTTTTTCCGAACGTTGACTCTAGACCCCACTCCCCCAAAGCGAGGAATCACGAAGTACTCAATGCTACTTGAAGATGGAAAGACATGGTTGTTATATGCCTATTCACCCTCTGGACAGAATCTCACACTCACAGCGGTAACCAATGGGCTGGTTCAGGCTACTAGTGGCTTTAATGGGATCATCCAAATTGCAAAAAGTGCGAGTGCTGCACATGAAGCTATGTTCGATGAAGCATGCGGTGCTTATCCAATTTCTGCGAGCATTTCAGGTCATCTAAGTGACGCGGTTGGTTCTTATACAATTGCTTTCGACAAGGCGGGATTGAACGATACCACTTTGGCAATGTTCGCTTTGCCGCATCACTTGGAATCTTTTGATAATAACACGCTCTGCTGTGTAACCAATGGAGTGCAGTTAGCGACAACAACGAAGGGTATGGCAACGGCTATTGTTGCTGATTCCTGGACGATGGAGGAGGATTTACCAGTAAGTATGAACTTTGCGCCCTGGAGTCCGACGAAAGGAAGCTCGAACTCGCTTTCTGCGGCTGCCAAGTCTACCATCGCAAACATCGCTGCCAGTGAGATTTCGCAAAATATGACGGATCAAACGAATTTGAATTCTATGTATTATAGTGGAAAGGTTTGTATCACCCACCGATTAAAAATATCCCATTAACATTGCGTAGGCACTTGCCAAATTCGCGCAGATTGTATATACACTTCATGATTTCATCGGAGATGCAGCTTTAGCACAAGCGGGTCTTGACAAACTAAAGCTAAACTTCGCACGTTTCATTAACAACCAGCAACAATACCCCTTGGTATATGAATGTAAGTTCTATGTATTCTAAATCAACATGGCTCAGACTAATTCAAATCAGCCGCCTGGGGAGGAATTGTCTCTAGTGCATCATACACAACTGGAGATTCAGGTGTTGATTTTGGAAACACGTATTATAACGACCACCATTTCCATTACTCATATTTCGTATACGCAGCTGCTATTATTGGATACCTAGATCCAACTTGGATAGCAGGCAACAAAGCATATATAAATACAATGGTACGAGATTATGCCAACCCTTCACCCAAAGATAATTATTTTCCCGTTTCCCGTAACTTCGATTGGTACCACGGACACTCTTGGGCTCACGGTCTCTATGAAACCGCTGATGGTAAAGATGAAGAATCTTCATCTGAAGATACTTTATCAGCTTACGCTATCAAAATGTGGGGCCGCACAATAGGAGACTCAAATATGGAAGCGAGAGGAAATTTACAACTGGCTGTCACTGCCCGATCCTTACAAAACTACTTCCTCTACGAATCTACAAATACGGTTCAACCATCAAATTATATCGGCAACAAAGTATCGGGTATCCTCTTCGAGAACAAACTCGACCATGTCACCTACTTTGGGGCAGCTCCAGAGTTGGTCCAGGGAATTCATATGCTTCCACTTCTTCCACACTCAACACTTGTGAGAACAGAGGAATTTGTTACGGAAGAATGGAATACTTACTTTTCAAATGGGAGAGCTGATAGCGTGGTTGGTGGCTGGAAGGGAGTTTTATATGCTAACTTGGCGATTATTGATCCTCGAGCGTCGTGGAACTTCTTTGCGCAGGCAGGATTTGATGCCGGTTGGTTGGATGGAGGAGCTAGTCGTACGTGGTATCTGGCTATGGCTGCTGGTAAGTTCTTATTTTCTTTCACTTATTCTTGTTGCTTTTGTTTCTTCCGTTTTTGTCTGTCTAGTTGAAACGGTTACTAATGAGATTGCAGGACTAGGAGGCTCGCCATGATGAAAGAAGGGATGGTTAGGATGATGGGTGGGAATAGTAGTACACGTTATAGGTAGTTTGAAGAATAATGCTGGCATGCTTCAGACTGGTTGGGATTATGAATTGGAACTACGAGACGTCAGTGTACGAGATTCTGGAAGCTTGAGATAGCACATTAGCGATAGGTTTGAATTGACCGGGTGGAACGTCCTTGAGGGACCAAGAATACCCGCGACTACCTATAAATATCAGATTTTTATACTCCTAAACACATGTTGTAATGATAGATCGATGTGACATCGAAATGAAACAACTTTTATCGTACCAAAATGATGGAGAATAGAATGAAGCATTGAGAAATGACGGAAATCATGTCATCCACATGCGATTTTATAGCCTCATTCCAATGATTCCAACATCCCACTCCTCTCTACCCTCTCAATCTGCTCCAACCTTCCTCGAATCCACTCCCCAAACGCCACAAACAAATGCGCACTCCCATGCCTCTCACAAAACCCCAACAGCGCCTCATACCTCTCTCCAACATCTGCCCCCGTTGCCGTAACCACTTTCTTCAAATCCACCGGACACAAATACGGAGGTTGTCTCGCATCTTCCTGAATCGATGCGCTCCCTTGCATACAACAAGCATAATAAGGACAATGTGCGATTCCAAAACAATGGCCCAGCTCATGAGACGCAGTACGACATATACGGCTGAGGAATAGACCTTTGAGCGCATCTTCAGAAACAGAAGGAGATAGAGATAGTGGAGGGAGAATATTTTGTTGGGTCACTGCGCGCACTAAGGGACTTTTGGCGGTTGCGTATTCTTTATTCTCATCTTCATCTTCGTCATTTTTTTCTCTCTTTCGTTTCCCCTTCTTAATTCCGTATACCTCGTTCATATATTCGATACAGTGACTTCCAGGCCAAGCATGGATCCGTTCGATCTCCTGCACAGCATCTAGATCGGGCCGGTAGCGCGCAGTACTCACGACAGCTACTCTGCTTCCGCCGTATGCTCTCCCGCATACAAATTCATCGTCGTCGTCTTCGTATAAGTCGTGGTCTACGAGCATGAGTAATGCGTATGCGTCAGGGGGTAGAACGTCGATAGCGAAATCAAGGAGGTCGGAGAGATTTAGCTGATGGGTGAAGGGGGAAGATGGGGTAGAGCGGTAGCGGATGCCGGTTTTGAAGGTCGAGGTGCGGAGGCCTATGTAGTTGGGTGGGATCTTTTTGGAGGTAGTTCTAGATTTGCGCTTGGGTTTGGGTTTGGATTTAGATGTTGAGGGTGGAGAGGTTTCCTCCCATGGTGTAAAACTCAGGAGTGACGAATCCATTTGTTTAACCGGGAGACCGTGGTAGAATGCTTGCAGATAAGAAATAACATCTAGCATCCAACTATGTATCTCAAGTTTCTCATTCTCAACACCCTTACCTCCTGCCCTATTCCCACTGCGCCCAGCCTCGCACTTCTCCCACCCCTTCATAAATTTTTCTATCTCCTCACCATCCATCCCCGGCGGCCCCACAACATAAATTATCCTCCTCCCCCCTTCTTCCACTCTCGGCACCGCATTCCTATGTTTCCCTCTCTCCCATCCCCGAAAAGTTTGGCCAACCTCCTTCGCATCAAGCTCTAACGCATCGCCTTTCAACACCAAAGGGGCTGGGAATGTAGATGCAAACTCTATATCCGATGCAAAATCATGAAGATACGTATCTGTGATGCCATTTTTATGTATCCCGGTAGCTGTCGTGGCGGCTGCACGACGCGATGCAGAGACACGGGGAAATTGTGCTGAGGGGTGCGAGATGGTGAGAAGGTGAGGATGAGTGCAGGGGGGACGGATAGTGGGGTTTGAGGCGGAAGGTTTACGCTTGGGAGGCATTTTGTATGCTAGGTTTAGCGGGAATGTATAGAGAAATGATAGGGTTAGGGATTAACAGCGAAACTAAATGAAATCTTCTGGCTAGCTATATATGAGGGGTTGTTGTCATGTGCTTCGTTAAAGCATGATATCACATGACAAAAGTGCGTAAGCGCCATCTGTAGAGTGTGCGTCTTGTTCGCGATGTAACATATGATTAAACACAGTAATTAATGATTACACTTATTATATACTCCCAATAGGTTTGGATAGGCGTGTATCCTTATTATCTTACATTATTCGCTAGGGCTCAAACTACCTACCTAGGTAGGTATAGACTTATCTTTAGAAGATCAGGGGCAATAGTTTACAAGCTATCATATATTCATGTCAATCTACTACTACATCCCATGTCCTTATATCATTCAGCTATCTCAGTAATAAAAAATTGAATGGACTATCATCTGAAAGGATTTTTGATATAGAACATTTCGGGACCTCAAAACGACAGTTTCCCAGCACACAGCTGATCACAGATTTAGAAGTTAATAAGTAATTCGAATAGGATGTTTATCAAAGGATAAATCAATTAGCTGTATAGACAGAGCAGGGAAAGAATATGTAGGAGTACTCATAGATTCGAACGAAGTGGGCCCGAAGGCTTGGAGGATATCCCTCTGAAAGAACAGGAAAAGAACACTTATTCTATACATCCCGTTTAGGCTGTCCATCTCAAATGCTTGTATAACATAGTCTCCTTTTCGACGCCCCGTCTAATCGTGGATGTAGAAAATAAATCCAGCACCAGTTCACTCAGAACCAAAACGCGATCAAGTATTGGGGATCTTAACGTATGGACGTTAATGAAACCTCAATTTATCACCCGACTTTATTCTAGTTTTCTCTTCTTATGTCCAAGTTTTCGTTCCAGATTGCAATTGGGTCCGGGATTCTAGATGGCATCTTTGTTTCCTAGAAGCGCAAAGTATAATCCCCACTGCTCCGATCGTCTCTCGAATTACGATGTTTATCTTGTTTTTGAATCGACTTCTTGTGGTACTATAAGCATAACCTTCATTCCCCAACTACTACATCCGTCATAAGTTCACCCCATCCATCCTAGAAAGCAAATATCAGTACGCATTCTCAACTAACCACACAAAAATTACCACACTCACCCAATCCATACTCTCTGGTCTCAGCCACTGTTCAGCCTGCAGCTTCGCCGCAACCCCTTTCAAGCGGGTTGAATCCCACTCCTGATCCTGCACTACTTCTATTGGTATTCGATTTGGAGACGGCATTGCCCTTCACTATCATCAGTTCCCTTCATCTATACGCAAAGACAAACGCTCAAACTCTACTTACAACAAAAACTTCAGAATCCTCGCTCCCCTCTCACATACACGACTCCTCGCCCCCATTCCCTCAAGCCTTGCCAACGCTCCTTCTAGCATTTCTTTGAACCTCTCATATTGCGCTCTATAAACTGGCATCAACAGTGCCACCGCCAGCACCACCGCCGCATGAAATGCGTGGAAGCTGCCCAGGCCCCGCGTGTACCACATATATTGCCTGTTTGCGGGAGTCTCTACCAATGTGCGGTGAATATCTAGGAGGGCCTCTGCACTTGCCAGACATCGAATCTGCGAGTCGTTGGGCGCTTCTAGGTCAAGACCCAGCAAAGATTGTGCAAAAAAAGGCCGGTGCAGCAACAGAAAAAGCTGGTGCGAATACCCATACAGAATATGCAAATGTACAACGTGGTGTGTGGGAACTGGCGCTCGTGACGAATGCGATGCGTAGCGCTTATCCCAGAGTTCTTGCGCAGCACAAATCTGTGCGTCGAGGTCTTTAATCGCGCGCGCGCTGGGTGTGGAGGAAGTGAATGTTTCCCTACAGATAGCGCTGGCGAGATCATATAGCTGGAATTTGAAGAGTAAATACGACATTTGGGTTGGACCGGGGGAAGGAGTTTGGATATCTGTGAGAGTGATGTCGGTGTCGTTTACGTCGGCGGGGAGACGGACGGTGTTTTTGCATGTCCAAAAAGAATCGGTAATTCCGAGGGCGGTAGTTTGAATGGTATAGAGCATCATTAGGCCGGCCCAACAGCGACGACGCTCTTCGCTTTGGATGGGGTCGAGATGGAGAATGGAAGGATCGACATGGCAGCCTAGGGCAATTGCTACATGATATGTAGTACCTGAGCGTTCATCAGCGTCTGATTTCAGCACTCGTCTCAAAATATCACCAGATTGTGAGCTCTGGGAGTGCACTCACCCAAAATGGTCCAAGTCGGATCCTGATTATGATTCATCGCATAGACCAGCAAAATCAACGCCTGAAGTGACTGTACATTGTGCTTTCCCCAAAACACGCCCTGCTTCCCCAAACATTGCATCGCCCCCTCTCGATAACGCTTTCCCAGCACTCGTATATTCGCGAACGAATCTGCGCCACGTCCCAAGTCGCGCAAGATAGGATGATTGTCGTCTAGGGTCGTCACAGCCAAGGCCAGTAAGACGAACAAGATCGCTAGCCAGGACGGCGATGTCGAAGCTGGATTCTCTACAAATTGCTGGTATTGGGAGTGGAAGGTTGGGTCATGTAGGATGTGGAATAACTATTTATGTCCCATAAATGTTATTAAAACCGTTTCAAAATCTGCTATGTTTACAGTATCAACTATCAAGTGAAGCTTACAGGAGACAACACCGAAAAGTACATATCCTTCAAATACGTGCACTGGCGCGTAGGTGGCAAAATCGACAGCAACCCATCGATCGAGATCGAGGACGAGGATGCGGACGCGGAGAATGGAAATCCAACATCAGCAGGAGGAGAATCATCCGCATCGTCTAAAGAAGGCAATTCAATTGCGAAATTGGTATTCACAAGTACAGTGTTCCATTGTGAGATTTGGGGCGAGTAATGTACATTCCCATTAGGCAGGGCAGTTAAGACTCCCGTGTTTCGCGGGGTAGGGGGCGAATTCTCTAGCTGGGAGCTCGTCGAAGACGAAGATGTCGATTCAGGCATCGCATCGTATTGTGGAATTCCAGCTGTGGGCTCTTCAGGCGGAGAGAGTATAGTATTTTGCACATCTCTATCTTCTCTCTGCTTGCCAATTACATTTGGACTCGCATCAATATTAGCCCTAGAATATTTCTCCAGCTGCATCTCCAGACTAGCAACACGGTCTAGAAGCTCCTTGTTGAACGCGGAATTATTGTTATACTGCGTGTAGTCCCTCGAACCTGTGTAAAAACAGCTGCTTGCACATCCTCGTCGACGACATGTCTCACAGGGGGCGCGAGTGCGCGAGCATTTGATTTTGCGGCGACGACAGGGCTCACAGCTGATGGGCTGACGAACATTGTGGGGACGGACAGTTTGGATTCTAGCTTCGTTGGAGTGGTCCATAGTCTGTGGGTGGTTGACCCCGATTGGATTGTTGTTCTGATTGCAATTGAAGGAAAGTCTGTATTTTCTTCACTGCGGGATGGGACGTCACGATAGCGAGCAGCACTGCTTTGTTGGAAGTTTTGAGGTTGTCAATGCAGTGCGATGCGGTACTTATCTTTAGCGTCAGGTGGGGATGGGACAAAAAAGGACTAGACTACCATTGAGCCAGACCATACCCCTAAGGGCATGGAAAATGACTTTTTTGCACATCATATATATACCCTTTCGATACTAGCTCTTTCACCTTGAACAGAAAATCTTCGTTGTTCCCCGCCAGGCACGCAGGGTAATAGTTAATAGCTGCCACGTCTCAGTCGGACTCTATGGTTTACATAAACTGGATTGTCATATTTTATCATACTGGCTCTAACTCCTACAATTGGATTCATGCTGTTACATTTCCTCGTTTGAAAAGCAGACCGATTCCACAAAATTCACGCAATTGGATTAAGAAAATTGTACAATTGTTTAGGTGGAAATCTGAGACCAACAGAGTAACTCGAGCTGCAGCATTAAAATATGATATTGTTTATGGTAAAGAATGCTAGTATCATCCTCGAGCCTATATCAGGAATGGTGACACTGCCTTTGCAACACCACTCAGATCCTCAAAGATATGCCAATGGCCAACTCCCCCCAGGGTGATTGCTTTCGCACCCTTGATTTCCGCCGCGTATTTTTCGCAAAGCTGGGGTGGCGATACCATATCCTCGTCGCCTGTAACAATTAGGGTCGAAGTCTTGATCTGTTCGATCGGGACTGTCGCGCTCCACCCAGCAAAAGCCGTACATCCCTTAGCATACCCTTCAGGATCTTGTCCTAGCAAGGACATACGTACCGCGGCTATTGCAAGAGGATTGTCTGCTTTGGATTTGGTAGACGTGCCTGCGTTTGCGATGGCTTCCACCACGGCAGCCATTCCATTTGCTCTTACGATTGCCGCTCGAGAGATGGATCCGGCTTGGACGGCTTTAGGGAGGGGCGTGGGTGGTGGACCAAGGAGAATTAATCTTGAGACGAGCGAGGGATGCTCCAGAGCTAAAGTCAATGCCACAGTACACCCCATACTATGAGCTACGATTGTTGCTCCACTGATTTTGGCATGCTGTGCTAATGCTGCAAAGTCCGCGGCGTAACTTGATATAGAAATGGAGGAAGTCGCAATCGTGGGAGAGAGTCCGTGGCCTTCAAGATCCATGAAATGTAAAGAATGGGACTTTTCCAAGCCTAGTGCGTTGACCAATGGGGTATAAAACTCAGAAGAACCACCAAGACCATGAATGAAGATAATGGGCGGTCCATCAGCTTCGCCGGCATGTCGATAGTACAATTGTTTCGAATTGATTGTTGTAAGCCCAATACCGCCGCATGTCTTTTCAAGGTTGCTGGTGGGGATGTGGGTAGCTTTGGCCACACGATCAACAGTCTGATTTGTAGATTGAAATTCTCCAATCTTGTTCCGAAGTACCCCAAGCCCAGTGATGGATACCTCAACCACATCTCCTGGTTTCAGGAAGATTGGAGGCTTCTTGCCAATACCGACACCTGCAGGAGTACCAGTTGCAATGACATCACCTGGCTGCAAAGTTTGTCCCTCGGAAAGAGTTTTAATAAGGACTGGAATTGAGAATATAAGGCTTTCAATGGTAGAGCTTTGACGTTGCTCTCCATTGACATGTGTTTGAACTCGAAGAGATTTTGGGAGCTTATTTGCAGGCACTGCAATTGGACCCTGAGACCAAGGTATCAGTCATTGACTCAAGTTAAAACGGAGTAAATATTACGTACCATTGGACAAAAGGTATCAGCCGATTTTCCAATATAGAATTGCTTGTGGTCTCTTTGACGCTCCCTTGCAGTCATATCATTGATTATTGTATAACCCCAAACATGGTCCATAGCATCTGCCTCTTCAATCTTAAAGCCTGATTTCCCAATTATGACACCTATTTCACCTTCGTAGTCTAAGCTTTCGGTAAACCCATCATGTGGATAAATCGCCTCTTCGCTCGCGATAATACTTGTAGCTCGCTTCGTAAATATAACAGGGTGTGTAGGCTGATCGGCCTTGTCGCTAGAGTCATAGCCCGAAGTATTGAACTCTATGGCATGTTCGGCATAATTCTTCCCTACTGCAAGTATATCTCTTCCGTAAATAGGAGCAAGGAGCTCGACTGAAGACAGAGGGAATTCCTCGCCAGAAGGTTTGATCCGCGAGCCGCCAACCTCAATAACCTGATAAAGGTCTGTTATTGGAGCTCCGGACGTGAAGCTCAAAGGTTGGATCGTAGAATTCTCGAGTTCTAGATGCCCAATTCGCGATTGCCCAAGAATTTTTGGGTCGCGATATGCAACATAGTTTGTGAAACTATTGTGGGAGTGCCCATTTTGCGTCATTCTGTGATGTGTTTGAGGAAGATAAAAATGTCACAGTCCTCGAGCTATCTGTGTTGACTGAGAGTACTATTTGTATGATGGAAGAAATGTATGGGCGATCTACGTTTGGAGATGACACTTAATCCACCGCTTTCCCCACCCTTTTCAACACGCTAGAATCGATGAACCACACACCCGTACCGGTACTTAGTATAAAAAGTCTGCTGAAAGTAGTTGGTCTTTCGCTGCAAGACTCATCCTCAGTCATTCTAAGAAGTCCGGGAAATCCGCCCTCACCCCGCGTACAGAGCTAACGATGTAGCGTGAGTGGGGTATTCACCGATGCTGACCCACTCTCTCCGTCATGTCCGCTCACATATCCGAATCTAACATAAGACCCATATAGGGACTATGATATGTGCTTAGCCGAAGACTAATTGGCCCACATGTATTTGGAGAAACAAACGGACTCGCCCCGCCATCTCCGTTCATTTTCGTCCATCTCCTTCTTCTAACATTAGCCAAGCACCTCGCGATATGCCCAAATCGCAGCGACAAGATTGTTATCATTTCAACTAACCCTCCTCCTTAGTGTGAAAATGAAACCTGGAGTATGAAGTACACGGGTCGTCTTGGTCCAATCTAACCCCATCATGCTTTGACAATCGAGTACCTCCTCCCCTATCGCTTCGCGTTGCACCCAATCGATAGAATTATGTTGAAGGTAATGTAGTCAAGCAATGAGGCAATCTCCCCAGTCAGTTCACTATGAAATTTAGGAGCTATTCGTAGTGCAAATCTATACATGGAGAATAAATGAACACATAAAGTTCAAGTGATGCTGCACAAGAGAATCAAGGCCAGACATTCTGGTTCTCTTCCTCAAAAATCCTTCGTTTATCATAGTTATGGTTCAAAATACAGCATCATTCGATCACGCGTCTAAGATTAAACAATCAAAAGGCGAAAATTCCACACATCTTGAGAGGCTGCAAACTGATGGCGGGCATACGGACGACCGAACGCAGCCCTCTCTTCCTATTGTCCATCGACTATTTGCAAATCCTTCTCCATTAGGATTACTTTCTTTTGCCACCGGTTTGCTTCTTATATTAGTCACAGTGGAGATGACACTCACAGATTCAGGCATATTCTTAATCTCCATATTCGGAGTTAATGTTCGCGGGGTAGCGACTCCTAATGTATTAATTGGCGTCCTGGTATTCTTCGGTGGAGTATGCCAATTCATCGCGGGTATCATGGAGTTTTTTAGCGGCAACACTGTGGGTTGATGCCTCCAAGCATTCTTTGCATAAATTCTAACGAAATAGTTCGGAGCAACGGTGTTCCCTAGTTATGGCGCATTCAATCTCTCTTATGCCATGATATATCTACTGGGATCCGGAATCATGACAGCATATACCGATCTAGAGACTAGCCAACTCAATGATCAATTTCCAACTGCCCTGGCTATGTACCTATGGGCGTGGTTTATCCTAACTGTAATCTTCACCGTGGCTGCCATGCGCTCCTCTTGGATTCTGTTCCTGGATTTGGTTTTCCTAGATCTTGTTTTGATCTTCCTCGCGTGCGGCTACATGTTAGATATGAGGAGTTTAGAGACCGCCGGAAGCGCATTGGGTTTTGTGGTTGCTTTCTTGAGCTGTAAGTCGTTCTTTCCTTTTTGACTACTTTCGTGCTCTAATTTGTGATAATGCAGATTGGGCTGGGACAGCTGGACTTTTTGCAAATGGTATCACCCCCATCAACATCCCTGTATTTCCGATGTACAACGGTATTTGAATGATAATGGTCACTTGGCATAGAAATCGTATTGATTAAACATTTTTGATGCTCAAGTATATTTTCTTACCTTAGCTTTGCTCCAGATTCACGATGATGTGAATGATTTAACCAGTGAACTATCAAGTTGGAGTAAACTTCTAATCAGCCTCAGATTTTATAAACATTGTAGACATCATCAACCACAATCTATCTCGTCAAATGCTTCATTTTCATTCTTACATTTCTTAGCATTTGGATAAAGGAACTGGGCTTGTGAGGTTCACAGCACCGGCATCACAACATACGTAGGTACACATACACATCCGCATCCACACGCTACCCAACCCAAGTGGATTTTGTTCAAAACATTTAACCATAAGATCAATCTAAACTCGTTTTCTTACAGTGTTTGCGTGGCAACGACTGTACTTGCCATATTGTAGCACAACTTTCACCTCAATCATTCACCAATCACCAATCATTATCCCCAAGAGTCTTTAATCCAACCCATTTCACCGGCTCTGCATATTTATTCATTACGCCCTTCGTTCTCCCCACCCTTAAAACCCGCCCTACCTCCATATCCTTCTTCCCGTGAAACCGCCAAGAATGCCAGCTGCATTCGCTGCCTGCAAAGCCCTCTAAAATGCCTTCCCCGCCCGGGTGTTCCGTTGTGAACTCCGTGCAGTCATAGACTACTTCGTCTATCACTATTACTACTACCTGTCAGACTATGATTCATGGAAGAAGG